TTTGGTAAAATGCTATGCCCAAGATTACTATCCGAGTGCCGGCGGTGGGGTGGTTCAAATAGCCTCGGCTATCACCTCATTATGTCCGGTCGTGATGGTCAAGTGGTTTAAGGCGTCTTGTACATACCAGTTGCGCTGCTTCTGGGAGTATGGGTTCGAGTCACTTCTGGGGTGTGAGTTTTCAGTTGCATATTGTCCTGGGGACCATTCAGGCTTGTTCGCATATATATATATATATATATATATATATATATATATATATATATATATATATATATATATATATATATATATATATATATATATATATATATATATATATGTCGTACCTAGTAGCCAGAACGCTCTTCTCAGCCTACTATGCAAGGCCCGATTTGCCTAATAAGCCAAGTTTTCATGAAATAATTGTTTTTCGACTACCTAACCTACCTAACCTAACCTAACTTTTTCGGCTACCTAACCGAACCTAACCTATAGAGATAGGTTAGGTTAGATGGGGTTGGTTAGGTTCGGTCATATATCTACGTTAATATTAATTCCAATAACAAAAAATTGACCTCATACATAATGAAATGGGTACCGTTATCATTTCATGAGAAAAAAAATAGAGAAAATATATTAATTCAGGAAAACTTTTTTTATTAGGCAAATCGGGCCTTGCATAGTAGGCTGAGAAGTGCGTTCTGGCTACTAGGTACGACATTATATATATATATATATATATATATATATATATATATATATATATATATATATATATATATATATATATATATATATATATATATATATATGTCGTACCTAGTAGCCAGAACGCACTTCTCAGCCTACTATGCAAGGCCCGATTTGCCTAATAAAAAAAGTTTTCCTGAATTAATATATTTTCTCTATTTTTTTTCTCATGAAATGATAACGGTACCCATTTCATTATGTATGAGGTAAATTTTTTTTTATTGGAGTTAAAATTAACGTAGATATATGACCGAACCTAACCAACCCTACCTAACCTAACCTATCTTTATAGGTCAGGTTAGGTTAGGTTAGGTAGCCGAAAAAGTTAGGTTAGGTTAGGTAGGTTAGGTAGTTGAAAAACAATTAATTCATGAAAACTTGGCTTATTAGGCAAATCGGGCCTTGCATAGTAGACTGAGAAGTGCGTTCTGGCTACTAGGTACGACATATATATATAGACACACACACACACACACACACACACACACACACACACACACACACACACACACACACACACACACACACACATACTAAGTGGCTCCCAGAACTGAAGGACAAGAGCTATGAGGAGAGGTTAGAAGCATTAAATATGCCAAAACTAGAAGACAGAAGAAAAAGAGGTGATATGATCACTACGTACAAAATAGTAACAGGAATTGATAAAATCGACAGGGAAGACTTCCTGAGACCTGGAACTTCAAGAACAAGAGGCCATAGATTTAAACTAGCTAAACACAGATGCCGAAGAAATATAAGAAAATTCACCTTCGCAAATAGAGTGGTAGACGGTTGGAACAAGTTAAGTGAGAAGGTGGTGGAGGCCAAGACCGTCAGTAGTTTCAAAGCGTTATATGACAAAGAGTGCTGGGAAGACGGGACACCACGAGCGTAGCTCTCATCCTGTAACTACACTTAGGTAATTACACACAGAAAAGCTGAAAATGAACCTAATTGAGGCAAAACGTCTAAATGGGGATAGAAATGAAGAAGACAGAAATTCTTTATTTTTACAAAGTGACAGGGACTGGAAAGCTTGTGAAATGGTACATAAAAACAAAGCAACAAGATCAGTAGTGGTAGGGGAAGTAAAGAGCAAAGGAAAAGGGAACATGTTCCTGAAAATTGTATATACCAACATAGATGGAGTGAGGTCAAAAACTTTGGAGTTGCAAGATATAATCCAGCTTAGGGTCCCAGATATTGTTGCATTATCAGAGACGAAACTTGAAGGAAATATAATAAATGAAGTCATATTCCCAAGAGGCTACTCAGTTTGGAGACGTGACAGGAAAACTAGGAAGGGAGGAGGAGTGGCTGTACTGGTGAAAAAACACCTGAAGGTAAAAGAGTTAATATTTGAAAACCCTCGAGATATTGACATAATGGCATTGCAGGTCTGGAATCAGGATGATAAGCTGATAATTGTAAATACCTACAGCCCACCAGCAAGCAACACTTGGACAAAGGAAGAACTGGATGACAAACGAGAGGGCCTCATAATGGTCATGAGAGATATTATTGTACAAGCTGATAAAGATAAATCACGACTGTTGATACTGAGGGACTTCAACTTTAGAGCAATAGACTGGGAGGCCTATGAAGCAAGAACGGAGGACTTTTGGACATGCAGATTTGTGAACCTCATTCTGGAGACATTCTTGTATCAACACATAAAGCAAGCCACAAGAATGAGGGAAGGAGATGTACCGTCAGTACTCGATCTAGTATTCACCAGGAAAGAAGAAGAGATTTTTGACATCCAGTACCTTCCTCCCTTGGGAAAGAGTGATCACGTCCTGTTAGACATTAAATATGCTTTAAGATATCATCTAGAAGAAAATGGGGACATTGAAACAGTTGATAAACTCGATTTAAGGAGAGGCAACTATGGGGAACTTCGAAATTTTTTTAATGAGTGTAATTGGACAGAATTGTTGCTAGGTAGGGAAGTAAATGAAATGTATGCCAAATTTTTAAAACTATACGAGGAAGGCACACAAACATTCATACCAAAACAGAGATGCAGGACCAGAAAACAGGATTGGTTCGACAGAAATTGTGAGAGGGCAAGAGACCAAAAGACACAAAAATGGAATCAGTATAGGAAGAGGCCAAACCCCCAAACATACAAGCGATACAAAGATGCGAGAAACAACTATACAGCAGTAAGGAGAGAGGCAGAAAGAAATTTTGAAAAAGGGATAGCCGATAAATGTAAAACAGAACCGGGCCTATTCTTCAAATTCATAAACAACAAATTGCAGGTAAAGGATAATATCCAGAGGTTGAAAATGGGAAACAGATTCACGGAAAATGAAAAGGAAATGTGTGAAACATTAAATGAAAAGTTCCAAAGTGTGTTTGTACAAAATGAAATCTTCAGAGAACCAGACACAATAAGAATTCAAGAGAACAACATAGAGCGGATAGAGGTGTCTAGAAATGAAGTGGAAAATATGCTAAAGGAGCTCGGGAAGAACAAAGCAGCTGGCCCAGATGGCGTTTCACCATGGGTTCTGAGAGAATGTGCATCTGAGCTCAGCATTCCACTTCACCTGATCTTTCAGGCATCCCTGTGTACAGGAATCGTTAGCAGACGTGTGGAAACAGGCTAACATAATTCCAATCTACAAAAGTGGCAGCAGGGAAGACCCCCTCAATTATAGACCTGTATCATTGACAAGTGTAATAGTGAAAGTATTGGAAAAGCTAATCAAAACTAAATGGGTAGAACACCTGGAGAGAAATGATATAATATCAGACAGACAGTATGGTTTTCGATCTGGAAGATCCTGTGTATCGAATTTACTCAGTTTCTATGATCGAGCCACAGAGATATTACAGGAAAGAGATGGTTGGGTTGACTGCATCTATCTGGACCTAAAAAAGGCTTTCGACAGAGTTCCACATAAGAGGTTGTTCTGGAAACTGGAAAATATTGGAGGGGTGACAGGTAAGCTTCTATCATGGATGAAAAATTTTCTGACATAGAAAAATGAGGGCAGTAATCAGAGGCAATGTATCGGAATGGAGAAATGTCACAAGTGGAGTACCACAGGGTTCAGTTCTTGCACCAGTGATGTTTATTGTGTACATAAATGATCTACCAGTTGGTATACAGAATTATATGAACATGTTTGCTGATGATGCTAAGATAATAGGAATGATAAGAAATTTAGATGATTGTCATGCCCTTCAAGAAGACCTGGACAAAATAAGTATATGGAGCACCACCTGGCAAATGGAATTTAATGTTAATAAATGTCATGTTATGGAATGTGGAATAGGAGAACATAGACCCCATACAACCTATATATTATGTGAGAAATCTTTAAAGAATTCTGATAAAGAAAGAGATCTAGGGGTGGTTCTAGATAGAAAACTATCACCTGAGGACCACATAAAGAATATTGTGCAAGGAGCCTATGCGATGCTTTCTAACTTCAGAATTGCATTTAAATACATGGATGGCGATATACTAAAGAAATTGTTCATGACTTTTGTTAGGCCAAAGCTAGAATATGCAGCGGTTGTGTGGTGCCCATATCTTAAGAAGCACATCAACAAACTGGAAAAGGTGCAAAGACATGCTACGAAGTGGCTCCCAGAACTGAAGGGCAAGAGCTACGAGGAGAGGTTGGAAGCATTAAACATGCCAAAACTAGAAGACAGAAGAAAAAGAGGTGATATGATCACTACATACAAAATAGTAACAGGAATTGATAAAATCGACAGGGAAGATTTCCTGACACCTGGCACTTCAAGAACAAGAGGTCATAGATTTAAACTAGCTAAACACAGATGCCGAAGAAATATAAGAAAATTCACCTTCGCAAATAGAGTGGTAGACGGTTGGAACAAGTTAAGTGAGAAGGTGGTGGAGGCCAAGACCGTCAGTAGTTTCAAAGCGTTATATGACAGAGTGCTGGGAAGACGGGACACCACGAGCGTAGCTCTCATCCTGTAACTACACTTAGGTAATTACACACACCCACACCCCCCCCCACCCCCACCTACCCACCCACCACCTGGGTAGGTGGGCTTGGGTGGGCTAGGGAGGGTAGGGGGGTTATATATATATATATATATATATATATATATATATATATATATATATATATATATATATATATATATATATATATATATTTATTATAATAATAATTATTAATAATAATAATAAAATAGCTGTCTTAATAGATTTATTGTTTAGTTTGTGAATTCTATCTTGCATTTTTGATTAATATGTACATGCATATTTCCAGGAATGCCAAAAAATAATTCGGTTAAAGAGCTTGGATAATAACACAGACATTGCAGCACTGTCAAGAGAAGTGGTGGATAAATGCAAACTTATTCATCCATCCAAATTAAATGAAGTGCAACATCTCATCAGCTACCTTCTCTCAAGGAAAGACACTGGAAAAGGTTTGATCACTTTTCTTTTGTAAAAGAAGATTAATTCAACAATTGGTTGCTTCTCAGCCAAAATTAATTTGACTTTTGAGAAATTGAGATAGTTGATTGTTGAGAGTGGAAAAAAAAAGTTAATAATGACTTAAGTGTGCAGTAAGATAAGAAGAGGGAACAGATGATAAAGAACTTAATGATAAAGAATTGTTAGTTAAGGATGTTACACTTGTGTCTATTGTCAAACACTGTGGTACAGATACACTTGGTTTGCAAACTTAAGTTATCTGAAAGTTCCAGTTTCACGATCGGGGTTGGGGTTTCACACTTCATGAACTCGGTTCAGGAAACAAGGAAGCGGTCCGCCAGGCCTCGCACTGGCTCAGGGTGGTGGGTGGGATGGGTGGGAGGTAGCCTAGTTTGCCCACTGACCGTGTCAGGGTCTATCACTCTAGTGCCTTCTACCCTGTGACGTCAGAGTCACAGCCTATTATTCCCATTGTTTTGATTTGTCATGAGGCTGTCGTGTTCATTCCGTGACTTTGTTGGATATATCTGCCCCATCAAGGAACATCCGTACACCATGTTGGCTCCAAATGCATGCATTGTGTCAGTGATGGCTGACTGGTGGGTGGATGGGCAGGCGGGCAGGGAGGGTGGGTGAGGGGGGAAAATGGGATGGCTGGTAGGCTGGGTTAGCAGGTGAGTGGGCGGAATGGGGTGGGTGGGTGGATGGATGGATTGGTGGCTGACTGACTGGCAGGCGGGCTGGCTGGCTAGATGGGCAGTTTTAGGTGGGTAGGTAGGTGGCTGGATTGGTGGCCAGCTGGAAGGTGGGTGGGGTGAGAATGTGCTTGGGCAGGGAGGATGGCAGGGTTGGCAGACTGGGTGGGTAAATTAATGGGTGGGTGGGCTAGGTGGGTTGCTGGACAGGCTTGAGGGCAGGCTGGGTTGGTGCGTGGGCTGGCTGGCTGGGTGGGTTCGGGAGGCGGTCTTATGGTTTTGGGTGGGTTTGGGTGGGTGGTCTTGGGTGAGTAGGTGGGCTTGGGTGGGCTAGAGAGGGTAGGCGGGTTTGGGTGGGCTCAGGAGGGTAGGCGGGTTTGGGTGGGCTCAGGAGGGTAGGCGGGTTTGGGTGGGTTCAGGCGGGTAGATGGGCTTGGGCAGGTAGGTGGGCTTGGGTGTGCTCGGGTGGGTTTGGGCAGGTAGGCAGGCTTGGGGTGGGCTTGGGGGGGTAGGCGGGCTTGAGTGGGTTCGGGCGGGTAGGCGGGCTTGGGTGGGTTCGAGCGGGCAGGCGGGCTTGGGTGGGTAATTGGGCATGGGTGGGTTTGGGAGGGTAGGCGGGCTTGGGTGGGTTAGAGCGGGTATGTGGGCTTGGGTGGGTTCTGGCGGGTAGGTGGGCTTGGGTGGGTTCGGGCGGATAAACAGGCAGGCAGACTATCACATACTGGCAGTGGTCACACCACATCCCCTCAGCCCCCCCCCCCCCATACCTGCTACATCCTAACCCCTCCCCCCTCCCCATCCCCACACCGGACTCTCCTGGATATATCCCCCACCCTCTCCAGGTGTGTGTAGACGTGTATTAATACGGTTCAGATTCTCGGCTACATTTATACCATATGGTCACCTTGGAGGCTGACTGCCCTGACTGACTGCCCTGGAATTCTGACTGAACTGGAAGTCCAAATTGGTTCCCTCCCAGCTTTGGACTTGGCTGGGCCTAGTTTGGGACTCTTGGTTGCTGTCAGGTGTTGAGTTGGCCCTGAGTGACTCATCAGTTGGTCGAGTGGTTGTGCAGTAGCTTGAATTTTGCCTGTGTGGTTTTCCTGTTAGGCAGAGTTTGACTCCGACAATTATACCTGTTTCTCCAGTTCTGCCCATTCTGCTGCTCCTGGGTCTGGTGGATTTGGGCCCAGCCCACTCTTTGGTGGCTTCTGTTGTGCTAGCTTTCTCTTCACGTTTTTCGGGGTTTGGTTCTATAGCACCATCTTCATAACTCAATATGTTCATGGGCTCCTTGGCTGTGTTCGGGCTTCGTGATCAGCACTCATCAGGTCACCTAAGGTCAGTGATTGGGGTCCATTCCTTTGGGTACACAGCATGATACTGAAGACTGCAGTTGTGTGGCATGCCATGCAGAGGATTTTATTTCCTCCATGTTCAGTGCTCCAGTTTCACTCCAACTGCTCCCCAGTGCCTGAACAGAGAGAGGTTGCTTTAGCCCATCTCCCTGTTGAGCTGGACACACTGAGTGACTCAGCTTCTGGATTCTCGGCTAGGTTTTTGCATGGTTCATGCGCAGGGTGTTTGAACGTTTTCATGGATGGTTTATAGTATCTCGCTCTCATCCCTTTCCCATGGAGTGGGTCGACAAATGTGTCCTTACTTTGGCTTTGCTAGACATGGGTAGAAAAATTATTCTCCTTCTGCTTGTGATGTTAGATTAACCCAGTGTTTTGTCTTGTGGTAATGGGGGTTAAGTCCTCCATTATAAGGGCTTGGGTTTCTGCTATAGCATTGATCACATTATGCAGATCGCTAACTTCCACTGTTGTTGCAGTGTCTGCCATGTACCATTCTCCCACTGTCAGTTTGTTACCATTTTGGGCTAGTATGTTGCTCCATACAGATACTGGGGATCTCATTGTGTTGAATTCCTCATTTCTTAGTACAAAGGGTAATTGTAAATAGGTCTTTCTTTAACAGATGGACAAGTTTCCCTGGATCACCCAACTCCAGGTCTTCCAAATGACATGACTGAACAGGCTAATTTAAATGAGTTGGATTCTTACATGGAGATGCTTTATGAAGACATGCCTGAGAAAGTAAGAGGAGCATCTCTCATTCTTCAGCTTGCCAGGAATCCTGATTACCTTGAAGAACTCTGTCAAAATGGTAGGTTAAGGGATAAAATGTAAGTAGAGTAGCTTAATTTTCATGGGAAAAGTTTTATTTAGGGATATTTTGTATAATTTGACTTTATTTTCATGATTGTGATAGTGTAAAGTTTGAACCTTTAAAGTATGGTGTCCTTTAACATGATCCCCCTGGGTAATGTTATATGTTGATTTTAATTATTACTTTCCAGTTTGTATTCAGATGATGGAAATATGGTTATACTGTAATACATCTATTAATTCATCTTTGTGGATTTAATGGAATTTAGCTAGAGCCATGAACAAAATTTTGCCATCTTTTTAACTGTTTACTGTGCAATATTATGTACTAGTAGCATGTGGTTATCATCAAATATAGTGTTTTCTGTTGGTGTTTGAAAATTTTTCTGGATGACATTACCAGACAGGATAGCAGCAAAGAGGAATGGGTTGCAAGACCCTTCCTCTAAGCTGTGCAGAACAGATTTATGTGCAATATAGAGGTACATATTACATTCTAGGCCAATATACTGTACAGTACTCACTGCTATTGTCAATTATGTGCAAATAAATAAAGTTATTCCACACATTTTAAAAACTAAAGTGAAACGATGATCACAAACTATTTAATTCAAGCATCATAGCCCTCTTCCCTATATGATGATAGCAAAATTGCATCACTACGACTTCACAGTCGTAGTGATGCAATTTGTCCCGTCGACTAGGCGGGACCAAAGAGCCAGAGCTCAACCCCCGCAAGCACAATTAGGTGAGTACACACGGTTTTCTCTCTAAATGTATAAAACCAAAATCTTAGATTGTTGTGTTTTGTACATTTTCCTTATTTTCTGTGGGGAGCCCTGTCGGCTCCTTGAGGCTATCCAAACTGACGTGTCATATTAGTTTGGTGCCATCAGTCACAGGAATTTTGATGCCTACCGGGAACCACAGGCCAGAACCTGGTCCCCCTTAGAGGCACAGGGAGCAATGGCCATATGAGCACTCTACATTTACAGTATGTCATGTCTGCCATCGACCGGAGAAAGCACCCAGAAAGATAGGTGATCAATACAAATCCTCTACTGGTGAAAATTGCAACCTACATCCGAACAAAGCCAAAGAACTTTCCCCAAAAAGAAAACAAACAAACAAGCAAATTGTCATCCAACTAGCACGCCTGCTCATCAGGCCCCCCCCCCCTCCCCTTCCCCGTTATGGGGAAGTGGGAGCCCGCTTAGGTGAGCTGGCATCTCGCCCCATCAGTTCATGATTGATGTGCCTGGTATCTATACGTCTCTTCTGGCTTTGCTTTCCTGTCTGGATTTTGCCTTTGTAGCTGTGCCAGCTGTGTGTGGAGTGTTGGCCAGGTATTCTCAGTATGCTGGGCTGCATGTGCCTAGGTCTACCTTTCCTTGGAGCTTGGTAAGTACTTCCCTTGCATTTTAGGGTTATCTTCCCTGGGGACATACGGGTCTCACTTCCGTTTGAGGGTTTTGTCGCTTGGCGTTGTTCTCGCCATTGGGGTACATCGGAGGTCTTGGGCTTCCCGGGTAGGGAGTGGGTTTTTTCTGGGAAGGGTGCACTGCAGCAAACAGCTTGCATACATGCGGCAGCCAATGATTCTCTCTGGTGGTCAGTTTGTTTGTGTGTCAGTTGCTTTGGATACTTTTTTTTTTTTTTCATGTTCGCTTGTGTTTGGTGGAGGAGGTCTATCTAGCTTCCAATTAGGCTCGCCTAGGTTGTGTTGGTGGTCCTCCTCTGTCGCCTCGATGTTTCATGGTCACTACTGGTTTGTTAGTTTATCTGCTAACACACAGGGTTTACCAGCTTGGCTAGTAAACCTAGTGCCTGGGCTTCCTGTTGGGTTAACATACCCTACGGGCCCTGGGAAACTCCATTGGGCTCGAGGGTACCATGGGTGCATCTTCCGAGCACTGTCTCCCCTTGTGCAATGCTAAAGGTTGTTCGTTGCCCCTGCCTCGTGGTGACGATCACCCGTCCTGCCTGCATCATGCTGCCTGTTGGGTCGGAGACACTTACGACCCTGAGTCTTGCGAGATTTGTTCCCTTATTTGTCACTCAGTTCACCAATTCCTTGTCTGAAGATGTTAGGGGTCAGGCAGTGGCCTCCACCACCTTCTCACCTAACTTGTTTCAACCATCTACCACTCTGTTTACAAAAGTGAATTTTCTTGTATTTCTCCGGCAGTTTTGTTTCATTAGTTTAAATCTATGACCTCTTGTTCTTGAAGTTCCTGGTCTCAGGAATATTCCCTATCAATTGTATCGATTCCTGTTACTATTTTGTACATAGTGATCATATCGCCTCTTTCTCGTCTGTCTTCTAGGTTTTGCATATTTAGTGCCTCTAATCTCTCCTCGTAGCTCTTGTCCTTCAGTTCTGGGAGCCACTTAGTGGCATGTCTTTGCACCTTTTCCAGTTTGTTGATGTGCTTCTTATATATTTATTTATTTATTTATTTATATACAAGAAGGTACATTGGGATTGTGAGGATACATAGGATAGTAATTACAATCTTGTAAAGCCACTAGTACATGCAGCATTTCGGGCAGGTTTCTTAAGATATGGGCACCATACAACCGCTGCATATTCCAGCTTTGGTCTAACAAAAGTCGCGAATTTGCTTGTTTGTTTTCTTTGGGGGGGGGGGGAAAAGTTCTTTGGCTCTGTTTGGACATTGGTTGTAATTTTTACCAGTTGGAGGTTTGTATTACCTGGTTGATACCTGGTTGATGGGGTTCTGGGAGTTCTTCTACTCCCCAAGCCCGGCCCGAGGCCAGGCTCGACTTGTGAGAGTTTGGTCCACCAGGCTGTTGCTTGGAGCGGCCCGCAGGCCCACATACCCACCACAGCCCGGTTGGTCCGGCACTCCTTGGAGGAATAAATCTAGTTTCCTCTTGAAAATGTCCACGGTTGTTCCGGCAATATTTCTTATGCTTGCTGGGAGGACGTTGAACAACCGCGGACCTCTGATGTTTATAGTGTTCTCTGATTGTGCCTATGGCACCTCTGCTCTTCATTGGTTCTATTCTACATTTTTATTGTTTTGTATTGTTTTGCCTCTCTTTCTGGGTGCCTTCCCTGGTTGATGGCAGACATGACATACTCTAAATTTAAGAGTGCTCATACAGCCATTACTCCCTGCCCCTCTCTGAGAGGACCAGGTTCTGGCTCTGGTTTCCGGTTGGAACAGAACTCCAGGGACTGATGACACTAAATTAATGTGGGACATGTCAGTTTGGATAGCTTCAGGGAGCCTCCAGGGCTCGCCCAGAAAATGGTGTTTCATTACATTCAATGCTGTTTTTTTTTCTTCTATCTTCTAGTTTTGGCATGTTTAACGTCTCTAGTCTCTACTCGTAATTCTTGTTTTTCAGTTCTAGAAGCCATTTTGTAGCATGCTGTTGCACCTTTTCCAGTTTGTTAATGTGCTTCTTGAGATATGGGCACCATACAGCTGCTGCATACTCCAATTTTGGTCTCACAAAAGTTATGAACAGTTTTAGTTTTTCTCCATCCATATAATTAAAAGCAAGTCTGAAGTTGGTGTGACCCTACCAGCATGTGTACAATACATTAAATTAAAATGTGCATTACATTCTAAGAATTTTCAATTTTTTTTTGTTGGTTTTTAAGAATTTTTTTAAACACAACCATTACAACTGAATATTTATAGTACTAGAATATAGTATAGAATATTTATAGTATAGTATAGTAGTAGTATAGTATAGTATAGATACTCTGTAGTAGTATAGCAACATTTTGCAGTGTGCCTTGTTAAGTTGATAAAGTATAGCTCTATTTGACTTTTTATAAAATAAAGCCTTGTTCAACTGATAGGTAAATATATAAATAATAATTATTTGTAGTTATGAGAATTTCCTGAGAAAATTTAGTAATACATATTTATCTTTCACCAACAGAGACAGTTTTGGGAGCATTAGCAAGAGTATTGCGTGAAGACTGGAAGAAGAGTCTTGATCTTAGCTATAACATTGTCTACACTTTCTTTTGCTTCTCAGTTTTTTCAAATTTCCACACTGTCATATCTCATTTTAAGGTTAGTGTGTCATAGCAGTTATATACAATTTAACTTGTGAATATAAATGATTATAAAATAGTTAACCAAGTCTGTATTTGTGTTCTTTTTGATGCCTGTTTTATCTTCCATGCCTACTTGTACCTCCACCTGCTTGTTAAACCATTTGCTGTCAGTGCAGATACAAACCTAATAAGATTTCAACTAAGATTCAACAGAGCAGAAGTTGTTGTTAAACACATGGGGGAATAATCTTACTGAAGTGAACATAAGAGTCATAAATACTCATACTCCACCTAAGTAAAACAGAAACAAGTAACACTTAGTGGGCCAGCCAGAGACTTAGGACCTGTGCAGGAATATCCCTGCAAAAAAAAAGAAAAAAATATGCTTGCTGCAATGCAATTTTATTCCTAATTCACCCAAATCTTCAGTACCAAAGTATGTATTAGTTATTACTTACCTTTACTGATCTCGTTGGCGCATGGAAGACGGTGAGGAGGGGGGGAGGAGGAGAGGTTTGGAAGGGGACTCCCCTTCCATTATAACATCAGGCAGTGATGACTTCTCTGGGGTACACTCTCTGGCATGTTTTGCCTGCATACCACTAGGACCTGCTTGTGGCTCACTGCTTGTTTTTCTTACTAAAAACCTGTTTAGTGACACTTGTTGTTTCCTACATTGTTACACTTGTCTGAAGTGAGACATCACATTGTCATTAAAAATGTTAACACAATGACCTACTACAGCTATCTCTGGGTGAATTAATAACAACTTTTCAACATCCTCAAGTATTTGTGTTCTTTGTTTCGTGATTGTTGATATGCCTTTTGCCACCTTAGGATTCATAATGTCCCTTTTTCTTAGCAATTACAGTGCATATCGTTGACATAGATTTGATGTACTGTCTAGCTAGCTCAACAACCTGTGTACCATTTTCATGTTTATGAATGATCTCTTGTTTTTCCTCTATGGTCATTCTCACGTGTGTTTTCTTGGCTTGAACCTTACCACTGGCTTTCTTGGCACCCATGGCGAGATATATAATAATAACTTTTATGTTCAAGAACCCCCAAATCTCTGGATCTCCTCGGTTTGTTGTGGCCCCTTCGGTTCAAGATTGTTTTGCGAAGGCTCTTTTTCCAGTTGGCATTGGCCTCTAGGGATTGGGTTGGGGAGCTTCATGTTCTCCTCTGACGCAGTGGTTTCTGCTTATTTAGTCCTGATGGTAGGTTTGTTCATTTGCAGCAGTCTCCTCCTTTTCTGGCGAAGAATGACACTACTGCTTTCCGGAGGGGTCCTTGGGTTGTTGATGCTTGGTTGGTTCAGCCGGGGGTGCATCATGTGTTGTGTCTGGTTGCGGCTGACAGCCCCTTTCAAAGCTGGAGAAATTGGTGACCTAGAGAGTGTGCAGAGATCCTTTACTGCTAGAATCCACTCGGTAAAACATCTAAACTACTGGGACTGACTAAAGAGCCTAAATCTGTATTCCCTTGAGCGCAGGCGGGAGAGATACATAATAATTTACATGTGGAAAATAGTAGAGTGGCTGGTCCCAAACCTGCACACAGAAATAACATCACATGAGACCAGGAGGCATGGCAGGATGTGCAGAATACCCCTGTTGAAAAGCAACAGGTACTCTGAGAGAGAACTTTCTCAACATCAGAGGCCCAAGACTGTTCAACACGCTTCCACTACACATAAGGGGCATAACTGGCCGACCCCTCACAGTGTTGAAGAGAGAACTGGAGAAACACCTCCAAAGGATACCTGATCAACCAAGCTGTGATTCGTACGTCAGGCTACGAGTAGCCTCGTCCAACAGCCTGGTTGACCAGTCAAGCAAACAGGAGGCCTGGTCAGCGACCCGGCCACAGGTATGCTAAGACCTGGAAGCACCTCAAGGTAACCTCAAGGTAGGCTCTTCGGCGTTACCTGCACGCCATGGCCTCGGTGGCCGGGGATGCACTTTGGGTTGACCCAGTTTTCCTTCTTCCCTATTCCAGGGCTCAGGTTTCCGAGGTGTCCGCAGGGTTATTCAGTCCAGCCAGTCTGCGGTCTATCCTCGTGCCCGTAACGTTCGTAAGTCTGCTCCTTTGGCTGCCGTCTTTGGTAATATGTCTGGGGCTGACATTCAGGCACGGGGTTTTTGGTGGTCGAACAGGGTCCTGGCTGCACGCTACCTTGTGAATGCTGCTGGGCCCAGTCGGGCCTGTGTTGCTTTAGGTCGGCGGATGCAGCCCGTTGTCTCAACTTCGAGTTCAGGAGTGGAGCACCAACCACCTTCCAGGTAGGTCCCCTTGTTTTCTTAAGTAGTCTTTATTGAAGTAGCTCCAGGGAGCCGTAGGGGCTGCCCCCAGAAAACCAGTGTTGAATGTAACGAAATGCCATTTTCTGGGTGAGTCCCGGAGGCTTCCCGGCGACCCTCCCGCCCTCTGGTCGGCAGTTTTTCATGATTTTTTATATCCAGCAGGGGCGGGTAGATTTTTATATCCAAACTGGGGCAGGGATCACCAGCTCTAGGGTCTGGGGCTCCCCCTTTCCCTCTCCCGGGGAGGGGGGAGCTGCACAGACATGCGGCGTGGCTCGTGTGATGTGATGCTTGTTTGCTCGCTTTTCTTTTGGGGAGTTCTGTCCACTCGTTTGTCGATTTTCTTTGTTAACCAGAATAGGGGTTTGTTTTGTGACTCTTACCTTTCTTGGTGCCTGTCCCGGTTGATGGCAGATATAGAATGCTCCAAATCACATGTGCATTTCTATGGGTCATTGCTCCCCGTGCCTCTGTGAGGGGGCCAGGTTCTGGCTCATAGTCCCCAGTAGGCTAGAACTCCACCCACATCGACTGATGTAAAATTGTTAGGGTATCCATATCAGCCATGGATAGCTCCGGGGAGCCTCCGGGACTCGCCCAGAAAATGGTGTTTTATTACATTCAACGCTGGGTTTTTTCAAGCATTTGCTTGTTGTATTGTGCTTTTGCTTCATAATGAGTTTTTGTTGTAGAGATAGTAAGCCTTTGGTCCTAGCTTCCAGTAATCAAGGCTGGATCTCGGAAGCCTGGTCCATCTTCCTAAGCCGTAGCTGTACTAGTGCTTATTTCTGGGAGCTGTTTAGGGCCAACAAAAAATGATTTTTTCATTTTAATAAACACTTCATATTTTATTATTTATAAGTTATAAATATATTGTTTGATATTTGCATTTCATTAGATTGGGTCATTGTGCATGGACATTATTGATGGAGAACTGCAGCGAACAGATCAATATCGTGAACAACTTACCAAGAGGAAGAAAGGTGGAGATCTGGCTATTGATCCAATCAAGCTTCAGCAAGACTATGAACGTAATCTCAAAAAGTACCAGACTGTTGTGGAGAAGCAAGATCAGGTGATTATTTTGTCTTCTTATTACATAGTAGAATTCTCTTAATTTCATGTTTAATAATTTGTTATATTTATTTACTTTTCAAATTACTTTGTGAACAGAAATAATGTTAACCATGCTATGTTCATAATCATATACAGTAATTCAGTTAAATAATGTATATTTGAGGAGTTTTATTTAGATGCTTACATAAAACAAAAGGATTGCATGGGTGATGATGAATTGAGAACTTAGGATAAAATTATATAAACATTAGTGTCTAAGAAATGGCAGGTTGTCTATTAGCCCATGGAAGGCAGTTTCTATTTAACCACAAACACACATGCATTTGTCTGTGTCTGTCCTTGACTTGAAACAATCCAGTGACTCCCACATCTATTACATTAATCAGGCTTAATATTTTTCAAGTCAACAACCCTACTTCCAAACCAGTATTTACCCAGATCTTTTCTAAATCTAAAATTATCAGCTTTAATCACAAAAACATAAAAATTGAAAAAGAGTGCAGATGTCTTGTTGGCCCATAAGTACACAAGAATAAAGGAAGCTGCAGAAGGCCCATTGGTCCATGTGAGCAGCTTCTATTTATATTTGCCCAAAGTTATTCATATACAGAGGACCACTTGGTTTGCGAACTTAAGTTATCCAAAAGTTCCAGTTTTACGATCAGGGTTTGGGTTTCACGCTTCCCGAACTAAGTTCGGGAATTGAGGAAGCGGTCTGCCGGGCCTCGTACTGGCCCGGGAGGTGGTGGATGGGAGATGGCCTAGTTTGCCCACTGATCATGTTGGGTGCCACTCTAGTGCCTTCTACCCTGTGATGTCACAGATTCACGGCCCATTGTTCTCATTGTTTTGATTTGTCACGAGACTGGAGTGTTCATTTCGTGACTTTTGTTGGATATAAAATCTATATTTGTTGTGACCACCCACACTCCCTCGGTGTTTGTGCCTCAGGGAGAGGAAGTGTGTGGTACGAAATGGCGGCAAGACACAATAGAAGTCTGTCTCAATTAATGGACCAAATTTTCTCCAAATTTCTGATGGAAAACTCTCAAAACACTGGTGTCTTCTCTGATTTCTCTACTGCTTAGGTGATTAGGGCAGGAGTTCCGATGTTGCACGATGTGACCAATAAACATGGATGCACGACACCATCTGTTGCACTCGGCTCTGGCGATCCCACACTTACTTTACTCTATCAAGTATTCTTGCACAAACACAATACCAACGCCACAGAATCTGGATTCTGTGATTTTATCGGTGGACCTGCGTTGAAGGTACTGTATAGTTGAGATACAGTTGAGATGCCACTGCAGACAGTAATTTTGACTAGTTTGGCCGAACCATTCATAATACAGTACAACCTCGCTTCAACGTACTATATGGGATCAACCCCAGTTCGTTGGAGCGTTGGATTCGTTGCAAGAGGTGACCTTCAAGAGGCGTTTGTGTCAGTGTCTTTTTTTTTTTTCTTGTACACAATAAAAATGCATTATCATATTACATACTGTACCTATATATTACTTCTCTACTAAAAAATACTGTAATTCATAAATTTACCTTATTGTTGAAGTTATGTCCATCTTGAAGTTTCGTGAAGTTGTGAATGCCCTATAGTAAATACATACTGCAGTGCATTATGCCGTTAGCACTGTGTTGTTTAAAAGTAGTTCTGCTGTATGTTGAGTACTACAATACAGTTTATGAAAACTATTGTACACTTAAATTATTGCAACTTTAATTTTAACACTGTGTACACACTTAAATTTAACACTTGTTCTAACTGTTCACGCCGCACACAATGTTTTTAGATGTTTGCATCAGCTTTGCTGGTGCTTGCTGCTGCTGTGGGTTCAGCTGCTTCTGAACTGGTACTGGCTGCTGTTGTACCAGTGCTGAGTACAACTGTGCTCGTGCTGGGTATGGCTGTTGTGCCAGTGCTGGGTATGGCTGTTGTGCCAGTGCTGGGTACGGCTGTTGTACCAGTGCTGGGTACGGCTGTTCTCGAGCTGGGTACGGCTGTTCTCTTGCTGGGTTCGGCTGTTCTCTTGCTGGGTTCGGCTGTTCTCTTGCTGGGTTCGGCTGTTCTCTTGCTGGGTTCGGCTGTTCTCTTGCTGGGTTCGGCTGTTCTCATGCTTGGTACGGCTGTTCTCGTACTTGGAACAGCTGTTCTCATACTTGGTACGGCTGTTCTCGTGCTTAGTATGGCTGTTCTTGTGTTGGGTACGGCTGTTCTCGTGCTGGTTGATTTTCTACTACTAGTTCTTGCAAAATATTGCTTCATTTTTGGCATTAATAAGGCACTATTAGTAAGCCCCTGAGACATTTTGTTTTATAACCAAAGAGCTGTAGTAAAAAAATGGTCAATTCCACTATTATTCTTCCACCGGCAGATAAATACTGTACGTCAATCCCAGACAAAGCTAAGGGCACTGGGTGCATACTGTACAAACGCAGAATAAGTCTATACGTACACCCTTCAATAGGCTGGTGTTTAAGCCAGATCCATTAACATAAATTTCTCTTAAATATTCGATTTACATTAAATTATATATTTTTGGGTTATATATTTAGTTTAGCAACATTATTACGATAATAAGAGCTATAAAAAATACTTATTTTGGAACTGATTTATTAATTTTATTATTTCGAAGCCGTAGGTCACTGAACTGTGGCGATGAAATCGAACAAAACACCGCCTGGTGTTGTGTTCGATTTCCAGTAACATAAATTTCTCTCAGATATTCGATTTACGTCAAATTATATATTTTTGGGTTACATATTTAGTTTAGCAACATTATTACTGTAATAAGAGCTATAAAAAATACTTACTTTGGAACTGATTTATTAATTTTATGTTTTCGAAGCCATAGATCGCTGAACTGTGGCGACGAAATCGAACAAAACAAGCATGGTGTTGTGTGGACAGGGATTAGACCGGTCCACTCGTGCTGGAGTTGTGCCGCCAATAATGTGAATAATTTCTCAAATAGCAGATATCTCTCATATTACAGTATATTTTTGGTTTTATTTAGTTTAGTTTAATTAGGATAATAAAGAGTTATTAAAATACCAGTTTTAGAAATGATTTATTAATATGAAACGTTCAAAGTCATGGGTCACTGAACTATGACAACACAGACAAAAGTGAGTGAAACCTCACTGTAAAGTGAGGTTTACTGTACAGTATTCCCTTATCTGTCCACCCTCACTCATCTTGTTTCATCACAGAAAATGTATATAAGAAGATTTCAACACATTAGCTAGCTATTCACGCTTCAGCCTTTAAATTAATTTACAGATACGTGTGCCACAAATCGGTGAACGAAAATTATTGAAACTCAGTTGTTCACTTGTGTGGACGACTCTGGCTGGTGTTTGGTTAATATGCGTCACTTCTTGTGGACCATTCTGGCTGGTGTTTGGTTCATATGATTCACTTGTTGTGTGGTCCACTTGCGTGATCCAACTTGTCTTATGAAGGAATTATTAATTGTAATCTGTGATAGAATGAGACAGTTTTCCACCATTCTGTGAACTCGGTCCCAACATCGTAAGCTTGTGGTCCACTTGTGTGGTTCACTTGTGTGATCCAACTTGTGTGATCCAACTTGTCATATGAAGGAATTATTAATTGTAATCTGTGATGGTATGGTAAAGTTTTCCACCACTCTGTGAACTCTGTCCCAACATCGTAAGCTTGTGGACCACTTGTGCGGTCCACTTGTGTGATCGAACTTGTCATATGAAGGAATTAATAATTGTAATCTGTGATAGAATGTGAAAGTTTTCCACCAGTCTGTGAACTCTGTCTCGACGTCGTAAGCAAATCCGAACATCCCCCACTTCGGAGAACCATTGTTCGTCTAACCGGGTGAGTAAATCCGGCCTGAAAAGTGTGCGAACTAGCCGGAGATTCGTTGAATCGGGGTACGTTGAATCGAAGTTGTACTATACGTCCAGATGGAGCAGCAGCACAGCACAGAATGGTTTTTGGGGAGATGAGCGGGAAGAAGCCCACCTTCCCCTCTGTCTTAAAATATTCCAATTAGAGCACTCTGCATCGAGGCCCTAAGGCCCTCCACCAATCAGAGCCTCAGGCTGGGTGGTGCGATGCCCATGACGTCACTGAGTGAGGCCTGTCGCTAAGTGTGGTGCGAGTGACCATTACTACCCCCACCTCACTCTCTCTTTCTCTCCACTTGACTTGACTTGTTCCTTACCATGGAACTGCCACAAGTTCCTAACTATTTCCCCAGTCGCATTACAGCGGTCCCTGCAACACATTTGGAATGCTGATGGCCTAGGCTCTTCAACAAGTTTAAGCACAGGATGTCTCAAGTAATGGTTACTGAATCTAGACTAGGTGCACGCCGGTGCACAGCTAACTGGTACACTGCACCGCTCATGCACTCTACACTCTAGTAGAAGCTTAGCTAGTGAAATTGATACCCTGACACTTACAGAAATAATATTTCAGCTGCTCTGTAATTAGGTGGTATTTCATCAGGCTAGTAGTCTTTTTCAAGGATACACATTTCACTTAGCAGTGATTTATGCATACTTTGATGTTCAGAAGTTTGAGCCTTTCATGGATGTTGTCGTGAACATACTGTTCTGCAAATTGTTCGCAGGACTAGTAAGAAACTGTTGATAATTAATGGAGACAATTTTCTTGCTACTTGTTATGGTAATTCCTCCAAACTTTCCCAGTCTATTGCCTTTTGAGCTTCTAAAGTTCAATTGCCAGGTTTCTCGTTTAGTTCATGCAACACCCTTATACTCCGTTGAATCAGTTTGTCTGTATACACAATCGAAGTACAGGCATACCTCAGAATAAGAGTTTAATCCGTTCCTGGAGACGCCTCGCCTTCCGAAAACTCGCATTCCGAAGTGAATTTCCCCATAAGAAATAAAGGGAAATGAATTAATCCGTTCCTGACTACCCCAAAAACCCCACATCAAACTAAATTTTTATACCTAATTTACCTAATTTATCTAAATAAACCTACAAAACTGTGTTCCAGTTATTACTTACCTTGCTGTCGAGTGCTGTAGGCGTATGGAAGATGGTGAGGAGGGGGGAGGAGGAGAGGAGTTACTGTTTGGAAGGGGAGTCCCCTTCCATAATCACATCACATAACCCCATGCCTTGTAACACTATGGATACCACTTCTCTTTCTAAATTTTTCAAACCAGCCCCTGCTTGCCTTAAACTCTTTCTTATCTGCATCACTCGTTGCAGGGGTATTCTTTAGAAGGTCTTCGTGCAACACCCTGGCTTTCTCACAAATAATGGCCTCCGAAACACTATCACCCCTCAACTCCTTGTCGTGTATCCAAATTAATAACAACTTTTCCACTTCTTCAAGTATTTGTGGTCTTTGTGCCGTTAATGTTCTTACTCCTTTTGCCACTTTAGCACCCATAATCTTATTTTTCTTCTTAAGTATAGTGCATATTGTTGATGTGGCTTTGTTGTACTGCCTACAAAGTTCAACAACACGTGTACCGTTCTCATGCTTCCGAATGATCTCTTGTTTCTCCTCTATTGTCATCCTCACATGAGCTTTCTGGCCTTTATCCTTACCACTGGATTTCTTGGGACCCATGGTGAGATATATAATAACAAATTGTATAGACAAATCACCAAAAATCCAACAAAACACTGAAAATCCGTGAGAAGAATTGATGTGGGGGTAGTCACTGAGCGCGAGACAATGGTAAACTGAGGGGCGGAGGGGCGACGATCGCCGAACCACCACGCGCTAGGTCGGCCTGTACGCGTATCAACAAACTCGCGTCCCGAAGTAACCCTCGCCTTCTGAGACAAATTTTTGGAGTAAATACTCCTCGCCTTCCGAAAACCTCGCATACAGGGACAATCGCATTCCGAGGTACCACTGTAGTGCGTTTCTGTAGACACACTAACAGTAAACCAAGTTCATGCAATGTGTCTTACGTTAGAGCTAAATCCAATAGAAACTTCTGAAGTTTCTAATAGGGGATCCTAACAAGTTCTAATAGGTGATTAAGTCAGTGCCAGATTATTATATCAGGGTAATGTTCCTTGAGAATTGTTGCAATGCCAGATTTGACACCAAGCATGACACTTGCCCCATTACTAGCAAATGCTGCAAGGTTCTGTTTCAAATATAAGTCATCAAACCCATGATAATTGAGACAGCTCAATAGATGTCTAGCAATAGTTGCTGCTTTCTGATCAGGTAGTTCAATTAGATCTAAGAACATGAAATGGGGATTGCCTTCTCTATTACTTTCAGATTTGTACCAGTACAATTCAGCCTGCTTACTTTTTAAATACTGTATATAAAAATGTAAATATTATTGAATTTAAAAAACCAAAGAAATAGCATAACATTATTAACTTATTAGTGATGTAATACTAATATTTTCCTGCCACGATCAACCATCACACATGCCATCATCTTCCTTTCCCCTCATCCTCTCTCCCTTTTTCCCATTCCATCATCCACTTGCAGGATGATGGAGCACTGCAGCACTGGCTGTACACAGTGAAGTACACTGTACACTGGCTGTACTGTAATGGGCGCCGGTGGCTGTGTGGACAGCACGCTGGATATGTAATCCTGTGGCCCGAGTTCGATTCCCGGCGCCGGCGAGAAACAATGGGCAGAGTTTCTCTTACCCTGATACACCTGTTACCAAGCAGTAAATAGGTACCTGGGAATTAGACAGCTGTTATGGGCTGTTTCCTGGGGGGGTGTGTGTGTGTGTGAAAAAAAAATAGTTAGTAATAACAGTTGATAGACAGTTGAGAGGTGGGCCGGATAGACAGTTGAGAGGTGGGCCGAAAGAGCAGAGCTCAACCCCCACAAATACAACTAGGTGAATACAGGTTCCTGCATTGCTTTTGGTTTTATGGTGGCTGTGGGCTTTACTCTTGTCATATTTTTTATATTGTCTTCATACTTGTTTGCTGGTGCCTAATCCTCTTGCTCTGGCCATAACCTTAGGGGGAGGCTAATGGCCACTGCCCTTGCATTGCTGGTCTTTCCTACTTTGTTTCACCTGCTGCTGGTAGTTCATTCCAGCTCTTCATTCCTGTGCCATCTCTTCATGATCCAATGATGGCTGCTTCCTTGGGTTGTGGTGTGGATTTCCTTAGTATGCCAGTATTTTCTTCTCACTGAGATTTTGTAAATTGTTTCTCTATCTCCTGTAACTGGTAGTTTGTCCAATTGTTTCTTTCAGGAGTTCCAATCCAGTCCTGTGCAGCAGGGGCATTCACATTAAGCTGGTTGCTTCTCAGGGTGTTGGTGTGTTGGGCTTGGTTTAGTCTGCAGTGCTCTTCCATATGTTGGGTGCAATTACCACCACCAGCTTTGAATTTTCTTAACACCTTATTGAAATTGCTGGCTTACAACTCCAAGAGTATCAATTAATATTTTTATGCATATCGACCTCTCCGTGAAGCCTTGTTCACGTGGATCATAAATATTGTCTACCATACATAATATTTCTATAAATGTTATCTTCTCTAAAGCTTATTACACACATTCCCTATATTAGTTAAACTAAATAGGACAATTCTAAATTTTGTATTATTGTACTCTTGAATCTTTGAATGCTGTAAAGACATACATTACAGTACTGTCTATGTAAATAGTTGTAGATTATTTAATTTAACTTGTTATAATTTATTTTATTGACCAGGTGTTACGAGTGTGCACATACCTGCTATTAAATATTGCTGAAGATGTCCGTGTTGAGGAAAAAATGAGGAGGAAAAATATTGTTGGCCTTCTTGTTCGTATGCTTGAGCGCGAGTCAACGGATTTGCTTCTTTTAGTTGTCTCATTTCTCAAAAAGCTCTCTGTATATATGGAAAATAAGGATGATATGGTAAGCTATACATTGCCTCTGCTTTCTCTGTTGATTTTTTTCTATGTTTTTAGAAAACTAAAAAAAAAATTTACTTGGTAGCCATTATACTAAACAGTAAATTATACTATTAGTTATGTAAATTGCTTAACATTATTAGATTATTTCACTACTGTATATATTTTCTCATTTACTATGGCTTTAAGAAATGTGTTATTCAGGGACATGAAGCCTGTTAGGCTTATTGTTATTCCTCTAATTTAGACAGTGCTGATAAATGATTACAAAATATTTTTCTAGACATAAAATCATACTTGATGGAAACTAAATTATTGATCATTTCAAAGCAATAGCCTGTCGGAAGATTACGTAGTTCTTCTAACCACTGCTAATTTGTTCTGATTTTTCATTTAGATCTATTAAATGCAGTTGAATGATATGTATAAAGGAATTATATTCATATTTCTTCTGCATAAAGTTTTATTTTAATTAAAATTTGTAGTTTTTTCAGTTCTTAATATACAGTACATTATTTAAGTTTGATATCTCCAGGCTGATTTAAACATTGTGGAGAAAGTGAGTCGTTTAGTGGCCACAGAGAACAGTGACCTCCTGAATGTTACGGTGCGACTTCTGTTGAACTTATCATTTGATGTTGGTATGCGAGCCAAGATGATCAAAGTCGGACTTCTTCCCAAACTGGTGGCTCTTATATGTAAGTACTATAATGGTTATGATTCTTGGGGAAATTAATATTGCTCACCCTTGAATTGCAGGAGGAATATATTCCTGGGAAGCCTTGTGCTGTGAGGACTGTCATAAATAAATCTTAAGGTTACATATTTGGGTACACTGAGATACATTGTACCCAAATGCATCCCATTGCTACATTGCTACCAAAATGCTCTCATTTCCTCTCTAGTTTTAATAAAACCTTAACCTAAATATTATTAACCACTGTGCTGTGCGGCCTTAAAATATGACATTCCCATAGTGCCCCGAAAATAAATTCTTTTACAAAAAATTTTCTCCTCTAATATTGTATCGGGGGTTGGGGATTTTATAAAACTGGTTATTGAACCAAACTGATACTTGCTTACAGACGAACTAAGACCCCAACTACTCCCTGATAAAAATATGACCAACCACACTTCCGCTACCGTCAGTCGACCAGCAATGGACACTGGAGTGCTTGCAATTAGTTAGGAGATGCCTCGCCAGGACAAAGGCAAAAACCAGCTGTTAACATACATTTATTACATAAAACATGTACAAGAAAATATAAGAATAATAATATTACAGTGCAATGTCCTGGGCTGCTAGCAACCAATAACTCCAACATTCCCTTAGGTCTCCTTCCAATAACTGTATTAGGCTGCTGCTCAATCTTCAGATCACAACCTACTACCCCCTGACTGCTTGGGGCTGAAATACATTTCACAAAAAAATATATATATATCTCTAACCAAAAAAAAATCAATCTCTCACCTTACACTGCGCCTTTCATGTCAATATGCAATCAAGCACTCCCTCAAACATCAATGTGCCCATATGATTCCCTGTTCTATTCCTCAAGATCCACTACCAAGAACATCAATCTGAGTCCTCAGAATCAGGGTGGTTACTCCTGCTGTCCCTCCAATCTGCTGCACATGACATCCCCCTCGAATGTTAATAAAGCTTTTCCAGACGGCTTGACAAAAGAAACATGTATCTCTCCTACACTGCTTAAAGTTCCACTATATATATCATTGGAGATCTGCCCCTCAACTTGAAGTCCTGCTCCATCTTGCAGTTCAGCTCCCACTTGGAGTTCAGCTTATAATCTTTTTCAGATGCAAAGTTACTTCATTAACTTCTTCCATACAAACCTGTAATTTCATTACCAATGCCGTAATAAAAATATTTTCCTAATAACACGGAAATAATAAATATATATGTACATTAATATCGCCATCCAACATCACACACCGTGCCGGTCTCACTGAGATGGGTCCTTCCCCATCCGGGCGGATCCACACTGAACTCAAGCAGTGACGGCTGCTCGGTGCTCTGCCCCCCTTCAGTTGTCCACTGACCACAGGATAGCAAGGATGTGCTGCTCCCGCCTCCAGCATGTTCACTCATCTCTTAACTCCTTATCTCTGCTCACTGCCTTAACCCTTAAACTGCACATGGCGTATATATACAACAGGACCCGATGGCACCATAAGTTAAATTTTTCAAACTTGTTCTAACGCTTTTAAATTTTCTGGGGGGAGCCCCTACGGCTCCCCGGAGCTATCCATGGCTGATATGGATACCCTAACTATTTTGCATCAGTCGATGTGGGTGGAGTTCTAGGCCTACCAGGGACCACGAGTCAGAACCTGGCCCCCTCACAGAGGCACGGGGAGCAATGGCCCATAGAAATGCACATGTGATTTGGAACATTCTATATCTGCCATCAACCGGGACAGGAACCCAGAAAGGTAAGCGTCACAAAACAAACCCCCTATTCTGGTTAACAACGAAAATCGACAAATGAGTGGACAGAACTCCCCAAGAAAAACGAACAAACAAGCATGACGTCACACGAGCCACGCCGCATGTCTGCGCAGCTCCCCCCTCCCTGGGAGGGGGATGGGGGAGCCCCAGACCCCCAAGCCGGCGATCCCCGCCCCAGTTCCTCGGCTGATGGGATAGTGCATGGTCGTGTGGCTCCAGCTCCGGTCTTGTCTCAGTGCTGTGACTTGTTTTCAGTGCTGCTCTTATGGTGGTCGTGTGAACTGGGAGTAGTATTCTCAGGTACTCGGGCTGCATGTGCTTAGGGTCACCTTTGCTGAGTGCCCTGTAAGTACTGCCCTTGGGGGTTGGGGTTGCCTTCCACAAGTCACCTTGGGTCTACCTCTGTTGGCTTTTCGCTGCTTGACGTTTGGCCGCCCCGAGTGTTTGGGGGTTTTCCCTCCCTTGTTTACCTTGGCATAAGTGGTAGTTATAGCACTGGTGGAGTGCAGGGCGCTGCGTAGCTAGTTTTCACCTATAACAGCGGCGAGCTCTGTTCCCTCTGGTTACGTTGTCCACTTGTGTGGTTTTTCTTTTATTTTTGTTTTTGCCTGGTAGGGGGTCTGCCTTGTGTCCCATCCCCATATATTAGGGTCGTTTGTGTGGTGGCACCCCCTGCTTCGCCCTCACGGGTGGACACGTCCCGTGGGTTCAGCTTTAGCAGTTTGCTTGGTAGTTTGGGATGCCGGTTAGCAGTGCCATGCCTGGGATAACCCTTAGCAGACCCAGTCTAGGGGCCCTGGGAAACCCCACGGGGGCTCTCGGGTCCGATAGTGGAGACCCTTGCGTCCCCTGTCGCTTTGTGCGAGTTGAGGGTTTCTCTGTCCCTTTGTCTCAGGGTGACTCTCCTTGTTTTTGCCTCCGTCACGCTGCCTGTTGGGTCGGTGACACATTCGACCCTGAGTCCTGCAAGCTTTGTTGCTTGTTCGTGACTCAATTCACCCAGTCTGCTGATGAATTTCCTTGGGTGCAGGCAGCTCGCTCATTGCAGGGTAGGCTGTTGCAATGTGCCTGGGTTGTCGCTTCCCTGGATGCCCCGAGGCTGCCCCGCTTTGTATAAGGACCCAGACTTGGGGGTTTTGGTCACTTTGGCCTTGGTTCCGTCCACGCCCCCTTCTTTTACCCCTTCGGTGGTTCATTTTGTTCCCCCTCCTGCTTCCAGCCCCTAAGCGTCTGAAGGCTTCGGGGTCGGGGCGGGGTTTAGAGGTCTCTGAGATTTGGGCAGTTTCGGGGGTTGCCCCGTCCGGGGTAGCTGCGGAGGCATTCAAGTCTGTTCTTCCGGCCGATGCTCCGGGGTCTGACCAGTGGGCCCCTTCTCTTCCAGCTCTCTTGGCTGCCCCGGCTTTTTCTTGTGAGGCCGAGGCTTTGGAGGTCAATTCGGCCCCGGGGCCTGGTGTAGAGCCGCCTGGGGTTGGAGAGGAGCGGCCTTGGGGGCCTTGGGCTCCATTGGACCCCGCCTGGATTTCTGTCCTTCTGAGCGAGGCTTACTGTTGCAAGGAGTGGGGTTTTTCTTTTCCCCCCTCTGCGTATGATTTGGACTTGGGTTCTGCTCCTCCCCGGGTTCGGTTCCGTGTCCCTGTGGTTTCTTCGATTCCATCTTCCGGAGGTTTTCGGCTACCCGCATCTCTAAGCCTGTGGTGCGGTTGGCCTTTGCGGCTTACCTCCTGAGTGACCCGGAGTTTGCCTCCGTAATGGTTCCTTCTTCGTTCGGGTTTGGATCGTCGTGTCCTTACCGGGTGCGTTGTGAGGTTCCGGGTTTGTCCTGGCTTGCAGACTGCTGCTTGTTTTCGCTGGATGCTTGGGACTCGTTCTGTCGAGGTCGCACGTTTGAGTGGCGCGAGGCATTGACGGTGGTCCGGGTATTCCTGGGGGCGGTTTTGCACATCTTAATGAGCGTCTTTTCACTCCTGCCCTTCTGCGGGATGTTGGTGCGGGGTGGCTCTTTGTGCGGGCTCCTTCCCTGTCGGCTGCACTTGTGGCGGAGGAATTGTGCGCTAGTGGCTTTTTGGTTTCGGTCCTACGTTTCTTTTCCCTCCTGGAGCTGTCTTCGGATTGGCTTGCGGAGGATGTAGAGGCGCTTGGGGACGTTCCTGGGTCTGGCACCTTGATTTCTGCTGCTCGGGCGTCGTCTGCCATGTTGCTCTTTGCGCCGGTCCTGCGGGAGGCGTTGCTCCAGTTTTGTTGTGGGGCGTCAGTGCTACCCCTTTCATTGTCTCCCCTTCGGGTTGTATCTGGCACCTCATGTGCTCACGTGCCTTACCCTAGTCGTGGTGGCCCGTTTGCGGCTGTTACGTGTTCGGGTGTTGGCTTACCTTGACGACTGGCTGGTTTGGGCTCCAGGTCGGTCCGCATGTCTGCTCACCAGGGATTGGTGTTTTCCCAGCTCGCCGGGTTCGGGTTCCTGGTGAACTGGTGGAAGTCCTGTTGGTTCCCTCCCAGGTTCGGTCCTGGCTGGGTCTTGTGTGGGACTCTCGGACCGCTTCATTGTCTCTTCCTCCGGAGTCTCTCCTTCCACTGCGGTCTTGCCTGTGTCTGTTTCTGGGGGGCTCCTAGTTCACCCAGCGGTTGCTCGAGGGTTTGTGCGGGAGCCTGAGCTTCGCGATGTTGTTCTACCCACTGGGTTGGGTTTGGCTTCATCGGCTGTTCTGGTTCCTTCGGGGACGTCCCTTCCACCTTTCTCGCGATCGCTGGGTTCGACCCCGGGGGCTTTGCGTCGGCTGCTGTGTCGCCGGCTTCATCTACAGGTTTCGGGGTTCAGTGCCTTGGCGCCTGCCTGAGCCCTCGCTCGTTGTGTTCCCGGATGCTTCATCGCTAGCCTCCGGCTTTGTGACCAGCGCTCACCAGGTCGGCCAGGGGCGGTGGAGTCCGTCCTTCCGTCAGGTCCACAGCACGGAGCGGGTGTCTGCGGCGGTATGGTTTGCGCTTCAGAGGGTTCAGGTCACCTGCGGATCGTCATTCCGGCTCTATTCGGACTGCTCCCTGGTGGTTCCTTACCTGAACCGAGGGGGTTCGATGCGGTCCTTGGCTCTTTGGGGTTGGTCGCTTCGGGTGACTCGTCTGCTGAGTTCTCGGGGTTTGGCAAAGCCTGGCAAGAAGTGACTCAAAGAACCCTGATCTCTGGCTGGAGAAAATTGTGGCCTGAATGTGTGATAGAACTAGACTTTGAGGGGTTTGAGCCTGTAAATGATGCGCCTATTGTTGAGGAAATTGTTACTCTGGGCCGGCAAATGGGCTTGGAATTGGATGGTGATGGTGTGGAGGAGTTGGTGGAAGAACACAACGAAGAACTGATAACCGAAGAACTCCAAGACCTTCAAAACGAACAGCAAGACGACCCAGCTGATGATGTTTCTCCAGTGGAGGAGGATGAGGCAGTAGCGAATGTCCCTTCTGCACAAATTAAGAAGGTGTGTCAAATGTGGGAAGAGATGCAGACTTTTATTGAAAAGACTCACCCAGAGAAAGCTGTAGTAGGTCGTTGCCCTAATCTTTTCAATGATAATGTGATGCCTTACTACAGAGACAGGTTGCGAAGAAGGGAAAAACAAGCTTCCATGGACAGATTTGTTGTGAGAAAATCGAGCAGTGAGCCACAACCAGGACCTAGTGGTACTCAGGCAAAACGTGCCAGGTAGTGCACACCAGAAAGGTCCTCACTGCCTGATGTGATAATGGAAGGGGGACTCCCCTTCCAAACAGTAACACCTCTCCTCCTCCCCCCTCCTCACCATCTTCCATACACCTACAGCATTCAACAACAAGGGTAAGTAATAACTTGAACATAGTTTTGTAGGTTTATTTAGATGAATTGGGTATAAAATTTGGTTTGAAGTGGGGTTTTTGGGGTAGTCAGGAACGGATTAATTTATTTCCTATTATTTCTTATGGGGAAATTAGCTTCAGAATACAAGTTTTCGGAATACGAGCTGTTTCCAGGAACAGATTAAACTCTTAAACCGAGGTACCACTGTATTATTATTATTATTATTATTATTATTATTAAAATTATCAGTGGTTTACATTTGAATATCATTACTTTGTCAACACATTTACATGGATTTTAGTATGTAACTTATTGGAGTAATCTTCACTGATGGATTTGATAGGCTGCTCATTGATCACATTATTTTTCCTAAGCTACAAAAGGTGATTTTGGAAGCTGGCTTTCCTTTTTATTTATGTAAACTTCAATCATCTATGACATGTTTATATTTAAATTCTTTTCTCAGCAGAGGAACGCCACCAACAAGCAGTTTTAGCAGTCCTGTACCACTTGAGTGTTGATGACAAATGCAAATCTATGTTTACATACACTGATTGTATTCCGGTGGTGAGTAAATTACATTTGATGAAAGTAATTTATTGTTGTTACTTTTTTAATGAATTTTAGTTTATAAAATTTGACACCATTGCCTAATGTTTCTGTGGGGGAGCCCCTTCAGCTCCCTGGAGCTATCGGCTAATGTGTGATATATTAGACCGGGGCATTAGCTATGGAGTTCGACCTACCAGGGGACCATGAGCCAGAACTTCGCCCCTTCAGAGAGGTTGCAGGGAGCAATGTCCCTGAAACTTGCCATCAACCGGGGTTAAGCACCCAGAAAGGTAGGCATAACAAAACAAACCCCACATGGTAAGAAAATGACAACTAATAACCGAAAAGAGAGGTAGAACTCCCTCCAATCCCAAGAAAAAAAAGCAAACATCACACTCCACTGCTGCGTCGCTCATTTGCGCAGCTCTTCAATCCCATGGGAGAGCCCTGGACCTCCCCGTGCCAGCTACTTAGTCATCCAGTTCGTTTGCTAATGTGATCCTGAGTGGACGCTTCTCTGGCCTTGGTTTCCAAAGTAGTGTTTGCCTTTGTGGCAACCTCTGCAGTGTTGTTGTGTGTGGTGGCCAGGTGTTCCTCATCAGTGCCGGGGCTGTATGCACTTACAGTCTTCCTTCCCTAGACACCTGAGAGTACTGCCTTTGCGTGTTAGGGTTCTCTTTTTCCTGGTGCATTCGGAAAACCATTTATGTTAGGGGTTCTTGCTGCTCTGTATTTACCCAGCCCCTTGGGGCCAGCTGGGGTTTTGTGGCCCTTGTTTGGCCTTGGTTAAGGAGTGGTATGCTGATTAGGGTGTCAAGGTGTTGTGCTGCCTGCTTACCTATGTGGTCCTGTCCACTGCTAGGGCTCTAAGAGAAAAAAAAATGGATGTGATCGGTGTCCAAAGCGAGCAATACTGTTAACTGGTTAGCAACACCTTGTCTGGGCTTCCCGTAGCAGTCAGCCTTCAGGCCCTGGGAAACCCTTTTGGGGCTTGGTGAATCACTGGATGTGTCTTCCGGGTTCCAGCCCGCCTTGTGCGGGTTTGCAGGTTGCTGTGTGCCCTTACCTCAAGGTCACAGTCACCTCTTTTGCCTCTTATCATGCTGCCTGTTGGATCAACAACACCTTTGACCCAGAGTCTTGTGGGTCATGTTCTCAGCTTGTTCTCTTGTACTGTTCTGATGACATTAATGTTAGGATACATGTAGCATCCGAATGCATGCTAGGGTTAGTTTGCTGCAACTCGCAAGGTTGGTTTCCCACCCGGATGCCCGCGGCTGCCTTGCTTTGGTTTTAGGGACCCGGACCTGGGGGCATTAATCACTTCGACTTTGGTTCAATCCGCGCTCCCTGGTCTTTTCCCTGCTGTTCCTCTTGCTCCTTCCCCTCACCCACCACCTCATTTACCCTGTTTCCAGCTCCCAAACATCTGAGGGTTTCGGGGTTGGAGCAGGGTTTTAGTTGGTTTTGAGACTCGGGCAGCTAAGGGGGCTGCCCCATTTAGGCTGGGGACAGGCATTTGAGCCTGTTCCTTCTACCGAGGTTTCTGGGGTCCCACCAGCAGGCCCCCCTTTCTTTCAGTCTTTCCCCTTCACATTGTCTTCATTTTCAGGGGTAGAGAGTATGGAGGACTGCTGTGCCCTGGGACCCGATGGGGCCTCTGTGTCCTGGGACGCGCTTTGGGTTGATCCGGTTTCTCTTTCTTCCCTGTTCGCAGGTGCGGTTTCCCAGGTCGTCCACAGAGTTCGTATGGCTAGCCAGCCTGTGATCTATCCCCGTGCCCATGACGTCCGGGCGTTCACTGCGCTTGCTGACGTCTTTGGCACCATGTTCTGGACTGACATTCGGACCCGGGGCTTTTGGCGGTCGTACAGGGTCTTGGCTGCTCGTTACCTCATGCACAAGCCTAGTCCTAGTTGGTCCTGTGTCGTTTTGGGTTGGCGGTTGCAGCCAGTTGTCTTAACTTCGAGTTGTGGAGTGAGCAACGACCGTCTCCCGGGTACGTCCCTATGTTCTTCCTCTGTTGATGGCAGACATAGAATGCTTCCAACCACACGGGGGGTTCTATAGGCCATTGCTCCCCATGTCTCTCTGTGGGAGCCGGGTTCTGGTTCGTAGTCCCCGGTAGGCCCACAGAACTCCATACACATGACTGATGCCAAAGTCTGATATTAGCATATCAGCCTAGTAAGCTCCAGGGGAGCTTCGGGGTCTCACCCAGAAAATGGTATTTCATTACATTCAACGTTAGTTTTTTGATGTCCTGCCTCAGAACTGAGAGATGGATGGCAGGTGTGGGAGTCTAGGGCTCCCCCTTTCCCCTCCTGGAAAAGGGGGAGCTGCACAGATGGCGGCGCGGCAATGTGTGACGTCATACTCGTTTGCTCGTTTCTGTTTGGGGAGTTCTATCCACTTGTCCTGCTTTTTGTAGCAATTTTCACCAGAATCAAAGTTTGTTTTGGAACACTTACCTTTCTGGGTGCCTAACCTGGTCGATGGCAGACATAGAATACTTCCAACCACACGAGGGTTTCTATAAGTCATTGCTCCTCGTGCCTCTGTGAAGGGAGGGGGCCAGGTTCTGGCTCGTGGTCCCCGGTAGACCCACTGAACTCCATACATATGACTGATGCTAAAGTCTGACATTAGCATATCAGCCTGAATAGCTCTGGGGAGCTTCTGGGGCTCACCCAGAAAATGGCGTTTCATTACATTCAACGCTAGTTTTTTGTTTCCTTTATATAAAGACTTGACTCTTTAATATAAATGTCTAATGTATTCTTTTCTCTTGTTTTAGGTAATGAAATTAGTATTAAACTCTCCAGGGTCACAAGTTCCTTTGGAGTTGATGGCTTTGGCAGTAAATCTGGCAGCTAATAAGCGCAATGCACAACTTATCTGTGAGGGAGCAGGATTGAAGTTGCTGCTGAAAAGGGCGCTGAAGTACAGGGATCCCCTACTCACCAAGATGATCAGAAACATTGCTCAGCACGAGGGACCAACTAGAGCTCTCTTCACAGTATGTATTTGTATGTTTTTAAGGTAATATTTGCTGGTGTCTAGTCATTTAAGAAAACTGTTGAAATTCATAGTGGGCTAAAATAGTCTTATTTTAGTTTAACCACTGTGCTGCACCACCCGACAAAACTCACAGCAGGCGAAGAGCGAGCCAAGAAAAGATGATTTTAAGATATTGTAACATTCAAAGCACGCACTCCTGATGTTGGATACGAAATGAACTCCTGGGACCTCCAGTGAGAGGCAACCACCTTGAAAAAATTCTCAGATTTCCCTAGAGCTGCTGTCTGGAACAGTTCTGAAATGGGCAACCATGGGTGGTGCACGTGCCTCTGGCTTTCTGGTTCGTCCCTGTTGGACGCGGTGTTAAAAGATCGCTCTTCGTCAGTGAAATTCAGACCTTATTGTTTGAAAAACATAAGGGTCATAATATTAATTTAAGCTAGGCACAATAAGGACCAAACACAATGGTCGGATACAAGTTATACAGCACCGATGAAAACAATACAGCAAGTGTTTCCAGTAGTAGCTGAGCCACAAACCACAATTTGATGGTTTTGATGTTAGTGTTGCATCTACTTTCCCATATACAGATGAAGATATGAGTGATACCAGGACAGAATTTTGTCACCGAGTTTTCCCTAGATCTTTCCAAGAATACCTGGATTTTTTTCAATCGTACCTTACCAAGCGATCTTTTCACGAATACCTGAATCTTTTCCAGAATGCCTGAATCTTTTCCAGAATAGCTGAATCTTTTCAATCCTACCTTACAAAGCGATCTTTTCAAGACTACCTTACAAAATGTTCTTTTCTTATAATCTTTTCAAGACTACCTTACACTTCACATACTTGGCTATATACCACATACAAGTACTAAAACCAAGGGTGTACATGAGTGTGTTATTTGCACACAAAACAAAGGAACAGGAAGTGAAACTGTGAGTACCTGGTGCATCGAGTGCGAAGTCGCGTTGTGTACCATGGACTGTTTCTTTGATTATCACTCACTTCTGACATACTGAGTGTGTAATACAGTTTGTGACTGTATAAATAGTGTGTGAAAGTGAATGTATTGTAAATATATTGAATATTGAACAGGTAATATTGCACCATTGAACATTTGTTGTGGACACATTACTGACACATGTATCACAGTTCTTTGGAAGAATATGTATGTTCTACTGTATACATATTGTAAAGGACACAAATGTGCATCATATATGATTAAAAAAAAAACGATTAGAATGTATTGAACAAATAAATTAAAATATATGTGGCTACTCGCGGGCCTTCAATGGCCCGTGCGACTGCCTCTGTGAGCTTCACGTACGGGTGCACAGTCCGTGATGATGTCACACACCACCTTCTCCACGTCTCCATATCCAAAGTAAGTGGAATTTGTTATTTGCTTTTACATGTACATGTTCAGGGAAGGGAATTTATCATTTTACGAAGAACAAAAAAAAAATTGCGAACACTTTGTTTTCGGCACAATAATGGAAATGAACAATTCGAACAATCCGAACAATTTGACATGGGAATGTCTCAATAAATGTAGCTCATCACAGTGGTTAATAGAGAACTTAAGGAATGAAGCAAGAGATGTTCTATAAAGTGGCATCAGAATGGACAATATGTGTAATACACTTGAGTATATTAACCACAAATTGTAGATGGTCAGAATTAATGTGCTGGCTGGGTGTAATTACCTAAGCACTCCCCTAGTTGTATTCGCCTAGTTGTGCTTGCTGGGGTTGAGCTTCGGCTCTTTGGTCCCCGCCTCTCAACTGTTAATCTACTGGTGTACAGATTCCCGAGCTTCTCGAGCTCTATCATATCTAATTACCTAAGTGTAGTTACAGTATAAGAGATATGCTTGTGGCATCCTATATTCCCAGTATTCTTTGTCATGTGATACAGTGGAACCTTGACTTACAACTGCCCCTACTTATGAATTTTTTGAGTTACGACCCCAATTTCATCAAGAAAGTGCGACTCGACTTACGACCTTTGCCTCGACTAGCAACTAGTCGATACATGTTAATACACGTATGGGTCGACCGAGTGTGTGGTTCTTGGTGGTGTGAGTGTCTCTGCCTCAGTTTACCAGAGCCCCTGCTTAACCCTTAAATTGTGCATCGCATCATATGATGCTTTGACCGACTTGCAGTAAATTGCGCATCGCATCATGTGATGCTTTGGAGTACTACGCAAGATTTAAACGGCCCACGGATACACAGGGGTTCACCACACCTTCATCAGAGCTCTTGTAAACAGACGCCATTTAAAAAAAAATCGTGGGCCAAACTCCTGGGTGTTAGGGGCCTCAGTATTGAGTGAGCTACCAAGCCTGATGCACGCAGTATGAGCTCACAGCACTGCTGTTCAGCTTGTGACCACAGCATCTCCTAAAAATGCCATAATATATTTGTTGACCAGACCACACACTAGAAATTGAAGGGACGACGACGTTTCGGTCCGTCCTGGACCATTCTCAAGTCGATTGTGACTTGAGATTGTGACACAATCGACTTGAGAATGGTCCAGGACGGACCGAAACGTCATCGTCCCTTCAATTTCTAGTGTGTGGTCTGGTCAACATACTTCAGCCACGTTATTGTGACTCATCGCCTGCCATAATATACTTGTTCATGCTATTATGTAGCAATGATGTTATTACAGAAGACCCCTGACTGTGATAAAACTGACCAGGGTTCTGATAATAGCAGGATTGTGGTGATATTTAGCGCTGTGCTCCATGGAGGGAGGAGTAATGCTGTGGGAGGGGAGGGTGGTGGCATTGTCTTCTGACTGTGTGTGGCCACCTTTTATTGACTGCACTCACCATACCAGCTTAGTGGTTCGCTATGGTGAACACAAATGTAGATACTTATATATAACGTGTGTATAGAGGGTATAAACAGCAAGAGTAGGAGGTTGGGAGCTGCCATTTTGGTGAGGGCGGTGGCGTCGTCTGCACGATTTATCATGTTGTTTACTGGTTACCACAATGGTCTTTGGGCACCATACCAGTTTACTTGTACAAGTATGGTGAATAAAACGGGTAGATATTTATATATAATGTGTGTATATAGCGTAATAACACCACAAACAGTATTGTTGGAGGAGACGTGTGACGTGTGACATCATACTAGTTTGCTTGTTTTCTGTTTGGGAGTTCTATCCACTAGTTCGGCTTTTGGTAGCAATTTTAACCAGAATAGGGGTTTGTTTTGGGACACTTAATTTCTGGATGCTTGACCCGTTCGATGGCAGACATAGAATGCTTCCAACCACACGGAAGTTTCTATAGGCTATTGCTCCCCTTGCCTCTTTGAGGGGGCCAGGTTCTGGCCGTGGTCCCTGGTAGACCCATAGAACTCCATACACATGACTGATGCCAAAGTCTGACATTAACATATCAGCCTAGTAAGCTCCGAGGAGCCTCCGGGTCTCGCCCAGAAAAGGCGTTTCATTACATTCAACGCTAGTTTTTTTAAGGTCACATAAATGCAGTCAACCCAACCATTTCTTTCTTGTAAGTTCTCTGTGGCTCTATCATAAAAAGTAAGTAGATTTGTCACACAGGATCTTTGTGTTCTAAAGTCAAACTGTCTGTAATATAATTTCTTTTTAGATATTCTACCCATTTGGTTTTAATTATACAGTATGTTCTAGTGATTTGACTATCTCACTTGTCAATGGTATAGGTCTATGATTGTGTGTAATTTAATATTTATTAATTTATTTATTTATTTTGTTTCAGGAAACAGTTGGAGAGCTGTGTGAAGTAGTAAGCAGTGGCAAAAGTGATGAGTTTGTTTTGGAGTGCGTTGGAGTGTTGGGCAATCTTTCTTTGCCAGACTTGGACTATAGTCAGCTACTTTCTAAATATAATCTTATTGACTGGATCAAGGAGAGCCTACAACCAGGTAGTATTTGAATTATTTAAAACTTTGATGTTGATCAGTAATTATCAACAGCATAACAAAATGGAAATAATATCTGTACAGTACTGTTTATATTATATGTATGAGATTCATTATCTAGCTTTTTGCTATATATCTAATTCAAACATGACTAGAATGTAATAAACTGTTGATATAGTGATGAAGTGTATGTGGTAGTGATAGCTAGGAAGAGGAAGGTGTGTAGTTGGGTGTGAGGGTAAGGGGTGTAGGTGGGTGTGAGGGTAAGGGGTGTAGGTGGGTGTGAGGGTAAGGGGTGTAGGTGGGTGTGAGGGTAAGGGGTGTAGGTGGGTGTGAGGGTAAGGGGTGTAGGTGGGTGTGAGGGTAAGGGGTGTAGGTGGGTGTGAGGGTAAGGGGTGTAGGTGGGTGTGAGGGTAAGGGGTGTAGGTGGGTGTGAGGGTAAGGGGTGTAGGTGGGTGTGAAGGTAAGGGGTGTAGGTATGTGTGGGTGGAGGTGGGGGTGTAGATATATAGGTTGTAGTGTATATCTAGATGTAGATATATATACTGTATAGTTAGTGATTAAATGTAGTGGAGAGAAGGCATCATTATGCTTATGGAGGATTCACCATTAATCTTGGTTTGACTCAAAGATTGCAGTCTTTGTCAGTTATTTGTACTGAGGGAGTATCAGTATCAGTAGGAAACATTGACTGTATAAAATACCAGGAAAAAAGGCCTAAAATAATACATTGAAGAGAGAAAAAATAATCTATTATTTCAATAGTCATCGAAATTATAACTTTTGTTCACTTTTTTCAGTTGACAGCAAAAATAATTTAATAATAGGGATATTACTTTTTTTTTTAGATATGCTTTATTAATGTAATATGGCATATTTTTCAGATGCAGTTGAGGATGATCTAGCCCTGGAAGTGGTTGTATTATTAGGAACAGTTGCTGGAGATCAAGCTGCAGCAGAACTGATTGTTGAATCTGGCATACTTCATTCATTGGTTAATCTTCTTAATGGTATGCAAGTATAATATTCATGTTGTATTTTATTTGGTATACTCTCTCTTATGCCTAGTGTATAAAATAGGTGAAATACTTATGTGATGAGTCTCACCTAACTTGTTGGAACAAGTTAGGTGAGAAGGTGGTGGAGGCCAAGACGTCAGTAGTTTCAAAGCGTTATATGACAAAGAGTGCTGGGAACACGGGACACCACGAGCGTAGCTCTCATCCTGTAACTACACTTAGGTAATTACACATGACGGGAAGCCTCTGGGTCTCGCCCAGAAAATGGCATTTCATTACATTCAACGCTGGTTTAATAAGACTTTTTTTTTTTTTTTTGCTCTTGTGGGTGTTGAAGGCCAAATAGCCTAGAGCATCTTAGGGGTTAGACTCTTGTTTACTGACTGTGAAAGCCTGATTGACTGTAAATGGCTGAATGATTGTAAATACCTGAATGACTGTAAATGCCTTATCCATCCATCCGATAAGTATAAGCAGAGGGATGCATATTCTGCATAATAAAACAACAACACTGTCATCGGAGGCGTCCGAGAATTTGCGAGAACCAGCGGGAATGCTAGGAAGCACCATGTGGTTTTCTCCTTAACCGAGCAGAAACTCGTCAGTTGAGACAAATTTTCTGCGAGTGGCTCACTCGTTACCTGAATTGCTGGTAGATGGGAATGCTCGTCACCCCGAGGTTCCTCTGTATTAGTCTGGGAGTTTAGGCATATGGAGTTGTCATGAATACCAGAAACCACCAGCTAGAACCTGGTTTCCTCAGAAAGGTGAAAGGAGCAATGGCCTATGGAAACCCCCACTGTGTTTGAAGGATTCAATATCTTCCATTGACCAGGGTTAGACACCCTAAAACAGACCCCAACTGTAGAAAATTGCAACTATAGATGTAAACAATAGCTAAAAACTCCCCCTAAGAAAAACAAGAAACAAGAAAATCGTCATCAATCTGGCACGGCATTGCTCCAGTTACGATCCCACCTTCGGCTGTTCTTGAAGGGGTCCCGGGTCGCTTGGTGGTTGCTCAAACCGGCTGTGCAGGAATTGAACTTTGCAGGGCTGGTTTACCCACTGGGTCAGGTTTGGCTTTGGCATCTGTTCCGGTTCATTTGGGGCTGTCTCTTCTGTTGCTCTCGTGATCGCTGGGTTCATCCGCCGGGTGCCTTGCATCAGTTGCTGTGTCTCCAGCTTCTTCGGGTTTTCGGAGTACAGTGCCTTGGCACCTTCCAGAATCCTTGCTCGGTGTGTTCGCGGTTGCCTCGTATCTCGGCTGGGGTTTGTGCCCAGTGTTCTCCAAGCTGCCCAGGGGTGGTGGGCTCCGTCGTTCCGTCTGCCTCACATCGGCTTCCATCATGGTTCGCATCTGGGGTATCCGCTGTTCTGGCGGTTGACTTGTTCATTCCTCTCTCTGGTCAGTCATTCGGTCTGGATGGTTGACACTGTCTCCTTTCGTTGGCTTTGCCAGGCTTTCGGACCCCCGGGGTGGGCCTTCGGGTTGGGGTGATCGTGACATCTCCCTGTGTAGGTGGCGCCCTTCCCCAACTGCGAGGCTTTCATAGTCAATGCTTTTTGGTGGGCCCGGTCATGGTGGGGCTATTTGTACCTCATTTCCCCCGGTCCAGCTGTTGCTCCAGGTTCTAGCTCGACTGGAGTCCTATCAGGAAAGAGTTCTCCTTCTAGCCCTTTGGTGGCTGGCCCAGTCTTCGTTTCAGGCACTACTTCCTCGGTGTCCAAACCCGGGGAGTCTTCTGTGGCTCCACCTCTTCCAGCGGATTGGACTGGTATAGTACGATACTTTGCTGGTTCAGTCTGCTCTTCACGTCTGGTATTTCTCATGCGTGTGTTTCACCGTTTGGTTGGTGATCCGGTGGATTCTTTTATGGTGTCCCACCTACAGTCTTCTTCGTGGCAACAGTATGAAGTCTCTTGGCATTCGTTTCCCCATTTCCTTTTTCTTCATAGGTTGTCTTCGGCTTCTGATCGTGTAGTTTTGTCCTTCTTTCTTGGCTTTTTCAGGACTTTTTTTTTCCTCTTATTTTGTGCCGCTGGCAGAGCTGCCCCAGCTTGCGCTTAGGGGGAGGGGGGGAATGTCACTTCTGCTCTGTTCAGTAAGCTTTTTCAAGCGTTTTTTTTCACCTACGGCTCGCTCATACACTGCCTCTGCCATCCTGGTCCTGGTATTTGGTCTGGGTGCTCTCATTTTCTCTCTTCCCCTCGGTTTGTGGTGGCCCCTTTGGGTCATGTTTGCTTTCCGTTGACTTTGTTTTTGTTGGGTTTGGCCTCTAGGGGTTAGGTTGGTGGTCTTCATGGTCTCCCCCGACACGGAGGTTTTTGCTCTTTCGATTCTATTGGACATTTTCTTAATTTGCAGCCGTCTTCTTTTCTGGGGAAGATTGAGAAAGCGGACTTTGGAGAGGTCCAAGGGGTTTTTGTTGTTTGGCTGGTCAGGCCGGGGGTGCATCATGTTTTTGTAACGGGGGGTGGGGGAAATAGCTCTATCTTGTCCATTATTCCACCCCCCAGTTAACTAACGAGGCCGGGGGAAACAGCTCTCTCTAGTCCGTTATCCCGTCCTCAGTTAGCTAACTATTCTAGAGCACCTCCAGAGTTCCTAAGGCAACCTCTCTCGTTCAACACCTTGTAACCTAGGTATTTGACTACTTAGGCGCTAAGACTACAAGGCGCCGTAACTTGGTCAGTTACCCGAAACTCTAGAGAGAACTCTAGAATACAGAATCATTGCCACAAACGTATAAGAGAAAACGAAAGGAAAGAAATGAATAGTGAAGTAATTAGTGAGGGTTTGGGGTGAGAGGTAGGGAGGTGGGAGGAGCGAGGAGGGTCATTAGTTGAAAGTGAGAGTTCAGAGAGGGGTGGAGGGAGAGGTGTAGATAGGTATAAGTAGAAGAGTAACTAGTAGAAGTAGAAAGTAGATAGTAGAAGACGAAATGCTGCCACCATCCATTCATGATCATTACATACAAGACAAGGAATGGAACTTGTCTGTATCACAATATTCACCAAAGATGTTATCAAGAGATCATTATTAGTATGGTCCCATCTTTATCATGTACTCATTCTAAACCATGAAACCAGTAACCACAGAGGCTTTCTCACCTCAACTCAAAATCTCTAGGGAACCAAATAAAGTCCATTTAAATAATAAATTCAACAATTATATTTTTCATGATAAGTATCATAACTTAAGCAATCCAATTAAAATGTTAAAGATTAATATTCAAAGTGAGTCATCCTCCAAGAATCTGAGAACACTACAACTGACTGCCCCTGATCACACAACACTTGTAAAACACGACCAAGTCACCTAAATGTTCACTCACCGAGGACTGAGTCTAAGTTGAATAGAGAGGGGGGGGGGGGAGTCTGCAATTTTCAAGCAGCGTCACCCTCCCGTCTGGTGACGGCCTATCTCGACGGCTGGCCTCTGCTCTGCTCCGCTCGTCTGCTGTTCTTTAATGCTAATCCTCTCGAATCGATAGTTCTCCGAGTATATATTGGGGAGCCTAGTAACTAACTCCGCCCACAAGTAGATAGCCTGAGGCACTCTACCAAGCCACTCCTTAAACGTCAGCATGTTTGAAAGCTACCAGGCTCCAATTAAGAGATTAGTAGAAGCAAGGTGAAATTCGCATGATCTGACCTCAGGTCACTTGAGGTCATTAATGCTTTGAGGTGTGAGATCTCAGGCCGACAGCCTGGCGCCTTTCCCAATTCCTGTCTCTGACTCATATTCTATATATATTTTACATAAACTAAACCAAACACTTTTACAGTGTTACATTTTGTGTCTGGTTGTGGCTTTACACCATTACCTGCTCACGTTGGGTTCTGTGTCCGGGGCCGCGCTTTGGGTTGGTCCGATGTCCCTCATTCCGGGGCTTGGGTCTCTAAGGTCATCGGCAGCATTTTCGAGTCTAGCCAGCCTGCAGTCAATTCTCATACCTATGGTGTCCGGATGTTTCTTGCTGCTGTGTTCGGGAACTTGTCTTGGGCTGCCAATTAGGGCACAGGGTTTTGGAGATCGTACAGAGTCCTGGTTGCCCGTTTTCTCGTGACCGTTCCTGGCCCTCAGCGATCTTATGTGGCCTTGGGCCCTCAATTACGGCCAGTGGTCCCATCTTCCTCATGAAACTTGAGGTGCTGCCACCTCCCGGGTTAATCACTCTTTTACTTTGGGTATTTAGCTCCAGAGAGCCGACGGGGCTTCCCTCAGAAAACCAGCATTGAATGTAATGAAACACCATTTTCTGAGTGAACCCCGTAGGCTCCATGCTACCCTCCCTCCCTCAGATCAGCGTTTTATTTCTTCTGTTTACTCAGTCTCCAAACTGGTGGGCAGACGGCCGGCTCAGTGGGACATGGCTCCCCCCCACCCCCACCCACCAAAATGAGGTGGGAGGCGCAAACGAGCGGTGCGTCAGGTTGATGTCGCTTTGTTTGTTTCCTTGTTTGAAATTTGTAGAATTTATATAGTTAAACGTGTGGAACATCACTATTCTAAAAAATAGAGGGCTCATATATAGTGACACGAATAATATTTTCTTAGATCAATCAATGTTTTTGCTGTTATTGTGCTATATACACATGTTATATACACTATGTAAATTTTTTTTGTGCCATAGTGAACTATAAAACCAGTGTTGAATGTAGTGAAACGCCATTTTCTGGGTGAGCATAGGCTTCCCTGGAGCTATAGGACCACACATCACGTCATATGATGTGTTGCGCAGTTTAACCACTGTGATGCGCCGAGTTTATTGTAACATTCCCCCCTGTGCGCATTAAATCAAATGTTCCCCAAAATTATTTTTTGTTTGTAAAATGATAAATTGCCTTCCGTGAACATGTCTATGTAAAAATTAACCCCAAATTCCACTTACTTTGGCTGTGGGGATGTGGAGACGATGTGCTGTGATGTCATCAATACTGGTCGCCCATGTGTGAAGCTCCTTGAGGTGGTCGCACCGGCCATTCAAACACCACGAGTTGCCACAAATATGCGCATGCGCCGTGGAGTTTGTTTTGGTCTGGGCGATGGTTCAGTGCTGGGGTTTTGCGCCCTTTTTTGCTACAGTGCTTCGCCTCTCGTTCTTCTCCCTGGCTGCGGTATGTGCCCCTTTGCGCCAGGGGTGTCCTGGTTCCCAGTTGTGGGGAGGACACCGCGGTTTTCTGTGTCATGGGTGTGGACCGCCTCCTTCGCCTCTCCCTGTTCTCCTGCGGGTCCGGCTCTGGCGTCTTCACCTGGCGGTGCTCCCAAGTTCTTCTGGGCACGGTTGAGTCGTGTCAAGTTCGAGCCACCATTCGCCAGGTGAGTTTCTGCGGTCTGGCGTCTTTTGGCCGGGCGCTGGATGCGGCGGTGTTCATATACCTGTCTTTATTTAGGTATAATTTTGTACGACTGAGACCGTTCGCACACCAGTGACTGTCCCTTTATCACCCCTTCCTGTCCCCCTCCTGTGCATGTCCAACCCATGCTACAGTCGTTCAGGGGACCCTCCTTTTTTAATGTTGAGGTGTGGGGGTTGTAGGGTTGGTTCTGTACTCACCTGGTGAGGCTCCTGGCTGTGCTTGCAGGATTTGAGCTCTGGCTCTTGGGTCCCGCCTATCTGGTAGAACTTGCGGGATAGTACCAGTGGAGTGCAGTGGTGCTATTGGCACTTTTGGGGAACACTGTATTACCATCATTTTCAATTATTTGTTCTATGTATTTCCAGTGCAGTTTTATTTGTTTTTTATCGTATATAATGCATATTTGTGTCATTTACAATGTGTATACAGTAGAATGTTCATAATGTTCCATGGAACTGCGATACATGTGTCAGTAATGTGTCCGCAATAAATGTTTATTGTTGCAATATTTCTTTTAAAAATTCACTAAAATTACAATATGTACAGTTTCACACACTGTTTACACAGTAACACACTATATTACACACTCAGTACTTCGAAAGTGAGTAATAATCAACGGAGTAGTCCATGGTACACAGCACGACTTCGCGCTCGTTGCACCTGGTACAGATAGATTTTCGCTTCCTGTTTCTTCGTTCTGTGTGCTTGTAAATAATGCACTCACGTACACCCTTGGCTTCAGTACTTATAGGTGGTATGTAGCCAAGCTTGTAAAGTGTAAGGTAGTCCTGAAAAGATTAGAAGAAAAGATAAGTTTGTAAGGTATACTTGAAAAGATCGCTTTGTAAGGTCCCTCACTGGAAGAGATTCAGTCACCCTCGAAGTGTCAGTCAATCTGGAAGAGATTGTCATTCTCGAAGAGTATCAGTCATTCTCGAAGAGTGTCAGTCAATTTGGAAGAGATTCATCCATTCTGGAAGAGATTCAGCTATTCTTGAAAATATCTATGAAAAGCACCACCATTGAAGCCACTAACACTGTTCATCTATGCTGCTTGTATCAGATGCATCATCACTGAATGCAGAAAATGATTCATCAATGTATCATCTATATAAATTGGAGATGGCATAGGTGGGCAAGGGTGGCACTCAGAGCTACAACTAGATACGCTCGCTATATCGTCCTCATAGGTGCTGTACCACTTGCATCCAACCTTTGTGCTAGGTCCTTATTGCGCCTAGCTTCACCAATATCATGACCCTTAAATTCTTCAAACAATAAGGTCTGAATTTCACCGAGAGAGTGCGATCTTTCAACACCGCGTCAGACAGGTGTTTGTGAGCCAGAGGCATGTGTGCCACCCATGGTTGCTCACTCAGTACTAACCCAGCCAGCAGCCCTAGGACATTCTGGGAATTTTTTCCAAGATGGCTGACTCTCCCTGGAGGTCCTAAGAGTCCATTTCATACTCAACCTGCCGCACACACATTTATGAATGGGTACAAAATATTCAAAAGGTGTTTTTTCGGTTGGCCCAGTTCCAACTGACTGAATTTTCTCGGTTGGCGCAGCACAGTAGTTAAGGATTAAACATCATGTTATTTTCCGTTGCCCATTGTAAGATTTGATTAATATCAGATTTGGAGGTTTGCTTTGTGTTGTCTATTCTCATGAAAATTCTAGTATCATCTGGAAAGTATGATTCAGTACTATAGTTTGTATCCTTGTCTATGTCTGATATCAAGATGTATGGCTTCAGGGAGCCACCAGGGGTGAACCAGAAAGAGGCATTTCATTACATTCAACATTGGTTTATTGTTGGCTCTTGCCTCTGGCTGCTATGTGGGCAAAGCTTCATGCTCTTCTTTGGTGACATAAGTTTTGCTTCTTTGGTCCTATTAGGCGTTTTGTTTGCAGCCTTCTCCTTCTTTTCAGGCAAAGAACAAGTCAGCTTCCTTCTGGAGTGATCCTTTGACTGGTGATGCTTGGTTGGTTCACCTGCCTGTTCATTATTTGCTGTGTCCAGTGGTGACTCTTCTCTGCTACCTTCTCATCTCTCTTTTCTGTAATGCATTGTTTTATTTGAATCTCTTGCAGAGTTGTTTGGCATTTTCAATGCTTCATTTTCTGTGAATCTTGCAGTTGTAAAGTTCAAACTCAGCTGAACTTGTAAAGTTCAGCTGAGTTTCTGGATTCTTTTCCCTGTTGGGTGGTGGATTGTCACTAACTCCCTGCACCTTTGTGAGGAGGCCAGGTTCTGGCTCTGGTTTGCGGTAGGCCAAACAGAACTCCTGCGACAGATGTAGGCCATTAGAATGGAGCAATCTTGGCAAGATTGCTTTGGAAAGCCACCGGGGCTCTATCAAAAAGTATTTAATTACATTTATTGGTGGCTTTTTATTTTGTTATGTGCACCAGAAAATTGACCTAATTTAGGGTGCACAGTGAGAAGATTAATAGGTAAAATAATTCTCTCTTCTTTTCAGCAAAACAAGAAGATGATGAAGTTGTGCTGCAGATAGTTTATGTCTTCTACCAGTTAACTCGACACGAGGTAACACGACCTCAGGTCATATCTACAACTGAAGTTCCAGCCTATCTCATTGATCTGATGCATGATAAGAACACTGAGATTCGCAGAGTCTGTGATACAACACTCGATATTATAGCGGTCAGTAATATCCATTTAGTCTTCAAGCATTAATATTTTTGTCTTACAAACTGGTGTTGACACTGATCAAATAAACTATATTGAAATAAAATGCAGATATTGATGAATCAGTTATATACTGTTGCACAAAACAACCAACCAAAGTGTATCTTGGGTTATTCTGCTGTATAGTAGTGGGGATTTTCTTCTGTTTGCTTCTCTTGGGAGGTGACAGCTGGAGTAAAGATGTGCTAAGTCCAGGAAGTCACCAACACTCCTCCCTCATTTCTCACACACATGTGTTACTTGACCATGTTATTTATAGTTTTGCACAAATAAACATTGCATAAAATTTTTTGCATTGATTTAATTTCTGGGGGAAGCCCCTTCGGCTCCTTGGAGCTATCTGGGCTGATATGAATGTATTAGACCCTGGCATCAGTCTATGTGCAAGGAGTTTGAGGCTTACCGGGGACCATGAGCCAGAACCTGGTCCCCTCAGAGAGGCACAAGGAGCAATGGCCTTTTAGAAACTTCTGTGTGGTTGGAAGCATTCTATATCCGCCATCAGCCAGGTCAGGCACCCAGAAAGTTAAGCACCCCAAAACAAACTCCTATTCTGGTGAAAATATTGCTACTGAAAGCAGAACTAGTGGGCAGAACTCTCCAAATAAAAACGAGCATGCTGTCACCATGTAACAGCGCCATTGTCTGCACACCACCACCCCCCACCTCTCCCTGGGTGGGGGAAGGGGGAGCCCCAGACTCCCGAGTCTGCAATCCATTCTGCAGTTCTGTGGCTGATGTGGACTTGGCAAGATCGTGTACCTCTGACTCCAGCATATTCCAGTACTGTGCCTTGTGGTGTGGTGCTGTCTCTTCGGTGGTGTGCAAGCCAGGAGTAATTTCTCCAGTACTTGGGCTGTATGCGCCTAGATTCAGATGAGGAGTCTTCGCCTCGAGGTGTTGAAGTAAATAAAGGCCGCCTCACACCAGATGGTCCTGGTGTTGACACATTGGCAGCAGCAGAAGTACTTGCATCAGCATTTATGTCATGAGTATGTGCCAGGGTTATATTTGTGAGAGGCCACTCGTCAGCATCCCACTTCAATAGGGACCACATTGTCACCTCTTGAAACTGTAGCAGGGTTAGTTTCTTGCAATCATTGGTGTATTGCTTGTACAAAACAAATGAATTATGCAGAGCCATTTGCAGAAAATAGAAGGTGATCTTCTTTGTCCACTTGTAAGATTTTCGTGTGAGCTGGTAATATTTGATCATTTGGTCGAAGTGATCAACACCTTTCATGAAGCAATTATGCTTACAAATTGCTTTTGGTTTGCTCACTGTTACCTATTCTACTGAAGTTGTTCCATCACATTTCCGAATTCGTTTCGTTCGTTGAACTTGCTGGGTGTCTGCATTGTGGCAGTTTGTAATGATTGAGACCACTCCCTTATCTTTACAAAGTATTACAACTGTTATCTTTGTGGCGGAACATGGTGGTATCCAATGCAAGTTTACTCTTTGCTTTCAATTGCAGTTCCTTTGGTGCGCCACGTTGCAATCTTAGGGTGCCACATGTGTAAACACCAACTTCTCGTAACTTCTCTGTCAGGTTGACTTGAGTTATAGTAGTTATCCATGTAAAGATGATAACCCTTGTTCATTAGGGGCTGCATCAAGCCCATGACTGTCTCAACTGTCGTTTTTCCAATTCCACAATATATCTCAGTCATATATGTAGCCAGATGTTGATTCAGCAAGCATGTACAGTTTGACTCCATATTTGTCTGGTTTGTTGGGATAAAAGACCTTGAAAGACAGTCGGCCACGTCATGCCATCGTGCCTTCATCCAAACTCAAATCTTAATTTGGAATGTAGACTTCTGCAAATTTTGTTGTAAGATATTCCATCACTGTTTGAACTTTTACCAACCTGTCTTTATTGTTCACGGGAATGTCATTGTTATAATAGGCATGGAAAACTGTGAAATATGTATAAACTGTTTCGACGTCATAAAAGTATTGAAGAAACGTGCATGCCAGAGCCTGCTTGTTTGCCAGTACATCCTCATGGTTGGGAACTTTGAAATGCCCATCAACATGCACAGGCCCAAATATCTGGCTATTTCCTTTACCTTGACTGGCACCCATGTCCTCATGATGCTCGCAGGAGCGTGCTGTAATATTTGTGAGGCATACAAGTTCGTTTCCATGGTAAAAAATTCAATCAAGGCTCAAGTAAGAAATAATTGAATAAATTGTATTGGAGTGGTAGGTGTGGGAATGGTCAGGCCTGATGTTCCAGTAAAATCATCAACAAGTGGTGGGGTGTTGTTAGTACACCAGATATTGCCAGAATCTGGCTGTGAAATACGTCCCGGACGTGTGCGCTTTCGAGTAGGAGGCGGCGGCGGCGCACGTGACTCCTCCTCACTATCATCACTCTCCTCACTTGTAGAAACATCATAAGCTCCTGTTTCTGAATCTGCATTATCACTATTGAAATCACTGTAGGGTTCCTCCTCTTCAATATCAGACTCAATATCAGAAACTGCTTCAACTAACTCCAGAATCTTTGTTGGTGTGAGTCTTACCCGACTGTACTTCTTATAAATGATACTTTTCTTGTCCTTTTTTGATGAATCCTTCGCTCCTTTAGGCATAGATCTGCTTGGGCCTTGACCAGGATACATCGTGCAATGTATATAATAGGTTGAAAACACACGTGAATGGGTATAAATGCCGAAAACTACAAAAGTCTTGCACGCGAGGGGAGAGCGGTGTGGTCACTCGTGGTGTCAACAAGAGAGTAGGTCGCCCACGTGAGTGCCTAGGCCGAGGTGCCATGTGGCCTATTGAGGAGAACGGGGATTTAATGGCGCGCATTTTGATACTATCCCAAAGTCGATTGGATAAAAATTTAATTTTATACAAATATTTTATTGTTGGACGCAAATGATGTCACGAGATAGGACTCGGCAGAAAAATTGGTGATGCATTAAGAGTCACGAGATAGCAAAAGTGTTAATGTTCTAGGTATTCATTCATTATATTTCTTAGAATTACAAAGAGAGCAGCCATTTTCCCCATTTTCTTCTTTAGTTACATCCACACTGAAGATCCTCTTGGTCTGTTCCATTTTATTCACTTCCACATTGCCCTTTCATCAAATGTTTTCCTTGTCCATGTCTTTTTGTATCCTTGATGAGTGCCATTATTTTTCATATTAATTCTCCTTCATTTTATGTAATTTCTGGGGGGAGCCCCGTCGGCTCCCCGGAGCTATTCAGGCTGAATGGATATATATAACTTTCTGGCATCAGTCAAAGTGCTAGGAGTTCTTGCCTACCGGGGACCACGAGCCAGAACCTGGCCCCCTCAGAGAGGCACGAGGAGCAATGGCCTATAGAAACCGCCTTGTGGTTGGACAGAGCAACCGTCAAACTCGAAGGATGCGAGAGGGACTCCAGGGACACACCTATAGGACCACGGAGCCCCCGTGGGGTTTCCCAGGGCCCTTAGCCATTGGTACACGCTAAGGGAAGCCCAGGCAGGGTACCGTGAACCGGCGCCCAAGTCTACCAACAAACTACTAAAAGCTGAACCCCTGGGACGTGTCCACTCACGGGGGCCAAGCGGGGAGTACCACCAACAGAAGAAATCGAAAGAAAAACACCTAGACCAGGAATGGGGGACCATAAAGGCAGACCCCCCACCAGGCAAAAACAAAAACAAAAGAAAAACCCCGCAAGAGGACAACGTACCCAGGCGGAACAGAGCCAGCCGCTGTCACTGGTGAAAACTAGCTGTGAGGTACCCTGCGCCCCTACCAGTGACGAAAACTACCACCTACCCAGAGATAAACCAGGGCAACAAAACCCCAGCCGACTCCAAGGGTGGCCCAGTACCAAGCAGTAAAGGACACAGCGGAGGTAGAACCCAAGGTGACTTGTGGAAGGTGGCCCCAAGCCCCAAGGGCAGTACTTACAGGGCACCTAGGGAAGATAGCCCTAGGCACATGCAGCCCGAGTACCGTGGAATCTTACTCCTGGCTCACACCCCACCGGTAGAGACAGTCCACACCACAAGGCACAGAACTGAAACAAAAACCGGAGCCAGAGGCACTTGACCAACCAGTAATTCCATCAGCCAAGAACTGCCAGTTGGATCGCCGGTGTGGAGGGTCTGGGGCTCCCCCTTCCCCATCCCAGGGAGGGGGGGGGTTGCTCAGACAGTGGCGCGGCAACGTGATGACGTCATGCTAGTTTTATAATTTTGTTTGGAGAGTTCTGTCCACTCGTTCGGCTTTCGGCAGCAATATTTTCACCAGAATAGGGGTTTGTTTTGGGGCGCCTACCTTTCTGGGTGCCTATCCCGGTCGATGGCAGACATAGAATGCTCCCAACCACAAGGGGGTTTCTATAGGCCATTGCTCCTCGTGCCTCTCTGAGGAGGCTAGGTTCTGGCTCGTGGTCCCCGGTAGGCAAGAAGTCCTAGCACTTTGACTGATGCCAGAAAGTTATATATATCCATTCAGCCTGGATAGCTCCGGGGAGCCTCCGGGACTCGCCCAGAAAATGGTGTTTCATTACATTCAACGCTGGGTTTTTTCTACAGTACTACTGTATTTATACATGCTGAAGGTAACCATCATTCCTAACTATGTTCGTGTTTGTCAGTGGAAGCTAATTGGTTTATTCTAATGCTAGGTTGATTGTATCATTCTAATTTTAGCTGCATCAGCTTGTTTAAATATTTGTTGCTCTTTCAAAAGCATTTTAAATTTTTCAGAAGATTGTTCATTCACACTTTCAAGGATGGGTAGTTGGCATTGGGAGCATGACAGAGAGTAATAGTTCAGTAATTAATTACAATATTATTTGAATATAGGAAAATGATGAAGACTGGGCCATAAGAATTCAATGCCACAAATTCCGATGGTATAACAGCCAGTGGTTGGATATGGTAGAAGAAGCAGAGAATATTGACACCATGGGAGGTGAAGAAATGGCTGGAGGAGAAGGTCTTGGTCACTCGTACCTTCATCATTCTGATGTTTTGGATCATCAGGGACTCTATTCAGGTAAGTATATTCATATTAAATTAAAGTGTTTACTGAATAAATATACGTTTCTGTGGGGAGCCCTGTCAGCTCCCTGGAGCTGATATTAGTTAATATTAGTATAGGGCTAAAGTCATGTGGAGTTGTCGTGCCTATCAGAGAACATCACTAGCCAGGACATGGTCCCCTCAGAGAGGTGCAGGGAACAATGGCCTATGAAACTCCCTTGTATGAAAGTTTCTGTCTTCCATCGACTGGGGTTAGACACCCAGAAAGGTAGGAGCTCCAAAAATGACCCCAACTGGTAGGAAAATTGCAACCAGAGACCAAACAAAGGGATACGAAACTCTAGTTTCGTATCCCCGAAACAAACAAGAAAATTAGCAACACGTCTTTACACTATGCACCGCTCATTTGTGCCCCCCCCCCCCCCCACCTCCCGGAGGGGGAAAAGGGAAGGTCCCGGCACATTGAGCCGGCCGCTGGACCATTAGTTTGTCGACTGAAGCTAAACGGGGTGGACGTCGTGTCATGCACTCGGTTGCCTGACAGGTTTTTCACCCAGTCGGTGTTCCTGTTGTGCATTGGGCGGTGGCCAGGAGTTGGTACCAACGGCTGCATGTGTTTAGGGCTCCCTTCCCTAAGTGCCCTGTGCATACACTCATTGAGGTCTCAGAGTTCTCTTCTCTGGGTCCTTGGGGTTCCCATTCCCATAGAGGTAGCAGTGTAATTACCTAAGTGTAGTTACAGGATGAGAGCTACGCTCGTGGTGTCCCATCTTCCCAGCACTCTTTGTCATATAACGATCTGAAACTACAGTACTGACGGTCTTGGCCTCCACCACCTTCTCGCCTAACTTGTTCCAACCGTCTACCACTGTTTGCGAAAGTGAATTTCCTTATATTCCTTTGGCATCTGTGTTTAGCTAGTTTAAATCTATGACCTCTTGTTCTTAGGTCAAACACGTCAAGTTTAGGTCAAGTTCTTAGATCATGCACGTTGCATGCTAGATTTAGGTTACTACAACGTACTAGGTTGGTTGCCCGCTCAAATGCCCCCGGGGCTGCCCAGTTTTGGTTTTAGGGACCCAGACTTGGAGGCGTTGGTTGCTTCGACCTTGGTACAGTCCACACCCCTTCGTCTTTCCCTTGTTAATATGGATCACCCTCCTCCTTTTCCCCCCTGCTGTTGGCTTCCAAACATCTAAGGGTTTCAAAGTTGGGGCAGGGTTTAGCTGAAGATGTGACTTGAGCGGTTCTGGGGTTTGCCCCATTCGATGCGGAAACGGAGGCATTTGGGCCTGTTCCTCCTGCCAAGGCTTCTGGGTCTTTCCAGCAGGATCCTTTCTTTCCTGCAAGGATGGAGGGCAAAGAGGACAGCTCTGCCCCAGTCCCTAGTTTGTAAGATTCCGGGGCTGGGGGAAAAAACAGCTTGGGGCACGTTGGCCCCCTTTGTCTCGCCTAGGCTTTGGTTCCTTCAGGGCGGGGTCGTCTGTTGCAAGGTTTGGGATTTTCGTATCCCCGTTCCTTGTTCGGGGAACCAAGGGTTTGGTTCTTTCACAGCTTGCTGGTTCAGGTTCCTGGTGAATTGGAGGAAGTCCAATCTGATTCTGTCTCAGGGTCAGACTTGGCTGGGCCATGTTTGGGATTTCTGGAGAGCGTTCTTGTATCTCTTTCAGGGAGTGTTGCACTGGCTGCAGTTCTGCCATCGTCTGTTTCTGAGGCGGCCCCGGGTCACACAGTGGCTGCTTGAGCAGATATGCGGAAGTTTGAACTTTGCCGTGATCGTTTACCCGCTGGGACGGATTTGGCTGTGGCGTCTGTTCTTGTTCCTTTGGAGCCACCCCTTCCGCTGCTCATGCAATCTCCGGGTTCCTTTCCCAAGGGTCTTGCATCGGTTGCTGCATCTCTGACTTCCTCTTCAGGCTTATTGTGGTTCAGTGCCTTGGCTCCTCTCCGAGCTCTCACTCGATGTGTTCACGGATACTTCCTCTGGGCTGGGGCTTTGTGACCAGTGCTCACCAGTCCAGCCATGGGCGGTGGGCTCCTTCCTTTCGTTGGGCTCGCAGCACAGTGCAGAAGTTCGTGGCAATGTGGCTTGCGCTGCATTGGATTCGGTTCTCTGTCGAGGTTCTGCAATCTGCCTCCATTCGGACTGCGCTCCAGTGGTTCATTGCTTGAACCACAGGGGGGTCCCTGCAGTCCTTGGCTCTTTGGGGCTGGTCATTCAGGTGGCTCTTCTGATGAGTTCTCGAGATTTACCTTTCCATGCAGTTCATATCAGGGAAGTGTCCAACATCCTGGCAGACAGCCTGTTGCAGTTCATTCACCTGTCCATGGAATTGATGGTTGACGCCAACTCCTTCAATTGGCTCTGTCAGACGGAGGTCCATGGAGGTGGACCTCTTCACGTCGGAAGTTTTTCGCGTGTTTTGATGTCCAGCCTCAGAACCGAGAGATTAATTGCCGGCACAGGGGACTGGGGCTCCCCATTCCCCTTCCTGGGGAGGGAAGAGCTGCGCAGACAGCTGCGCGGCGACGTGTGACATCATACTCATTTCCTCGTTTCTGTTTGGGGAGTTCTATCCACTTGTTCGACTTTTTGTAGCAATTTTTACCAGAATAGGGGTTTGTTTTGGGACGCTTACATTTCTGGGTGCCTGACCCGGTCGATGGCAGATTTAGAATGCTTCCAACCACACAGGGGTTTCTATAGGCCATTGCTACCCTCGTGCCTCTGTGAGGGGGGCCCAGGTTCTGGCTCATGGTCCCTGGTAGGCCCACAGAACTCCATACACATGACATGCCAAAGTCTGACATTAGCATATCAACCTGGATAGTTCCCGGGAGACTCTGGGACTCGTGCAGAAAATAGCTTTTCATTACATTCGTCACTGGTTTTTTCACTCTGCTAAAATGCCAAGGGTTTAAATGCATTTCAGTTCTTATTTTTATGAGTTCATTAGTTGTAATATTCTGATCTTTCAGATGGCTTATCTTCGCCTGAAAGTGAAGAATACCCTGGCATAAATGGTCACAGTGAGGGCTCACGTCCATCCTCTAACTACACAAATCGGTAAGGTTATATATAAATTGTCATTGCATAGTTAATGATGAGTGCTAATTGTATCTCTGCATTAGTAACATTATGAGTTGTTAATATGACAAATGTTCTCAGATATGTTGACCATCTTCCTAATTTAAAATTTACATTTTAATTCTTGTAAATATAATATTTTTAAATGAAAGGCATGTAGTGTTTCATAATTTTAATGAGTTCTCTATCTTCAAAGTAAGATTGTTTTCCTTATAAGGGAAAATGTTACAATGTTTTTATCTAGTCTTACAAGAGAAAGAGAGAATAGCTTTATTGATTAAAGTATTAAAGAAACATGTAACTTAAAATTTGTTACCAGAAGTTTAGCCCTTCTATTGATTGACCTTTAAGTTGGTATGCCATGCAAGACCATTCATAAAGAACCATATATTAAGGAAATACATGGCATGAAAGCATTCAGCACAGTTGGCTCACAACTAAATATTTCTGTGTAAGACAAAATGGTTGGAAATGTTTCCTTACACCTGGTGTGTGTGTGTTCATCCAGCAGTAAATAGCTACCTGGTAATTACAAGACTTGTGGGTTGCATTCTGTGGATGGTCAGTCCACAGAATGGACTGACCTAATCAATGGCTTCCTAGATTGGCCTAGTCATTAGCCCTAGTCATTGGCTTCCTGTCCATAACAATGGGAAAATGTCTTATTAAACCAAATACCATAAAAAAAAAATATGGCACATCTTGGAGCTGGGTGCTTTGGATGATTTCCCTGGACCTCAAGGACGCTTATTAACACCTATATATATGGGGTTCAGGGATTAATTAGGTTTTGTAGTGGGGCCACAGGCTTATCGCTTTTGGGTTCTTCTGTTCGGGCTGAATATGGCACCTCGCGTTTTTATGCGCTTGACTTGGGCCGTGATGGCTTGTCTTCATGGATTGGGCCTACCTCGATGAGTGGCTGGTTTGGGCTTCCAGCTTGTCTGCTAGACAGGGATCTGGTTCTTTCCCAGCTAGCCGGGTTCAGATTCCCAGGGAATTGGCAGAAGTCCCAGTTGGTTCTGTCACAGTGTCAGATCTGGCTGGGCCTTGGTATTTTTGGTTAGTGTCACTTTCCCTGCCTCCTGTGGCCTTGCTCTGGCTGCAGTCCCGCCATCTGTTGATGCTGAGGGGGGGGACCCGGATTAGTCTGGGGTTGCTTGAGCAGCTGTGTGGGAACCTGAACTTCACGCTCCTGGCTTACCTGTTGGGCACAGGTTAGCTCAAGAGGCTATTCTGGTATCTTCGGGTCAGTCCCTTTTTACCAGTCTCGTGATTGCTGGGCCCATCCTCCGGTGTCATTATGCTGGTTGCTGCATCACCAGCTTTTTATTTTTTCAGGGTTTATTTCCTTGGTGTATTTTCCCCTCCCTCGCTCGATGTCTTCACGAACACTTCTGCTATTGGTTGGGGCTTTGTGACCAGTGCTCATCAGTTTGGCCTAGGTCGTTGGTGCCTACACCTTTGTTGGGCTCCCAACACCATTTTTTAAATGGCGTCTGTTTACTACATCCCTGAGGAAGCTGATGTGAACCCTGTGTAGCCGCGGGACTTTTAAATCTTGCAGTGTACTTTACAATGTATATGTATGATCTGCGTCATTCTGCCACTTGTACCAAAAAACAGGTATATACAATTTGCACAGTTAAGGGGGTAATTGTGTCCCACCTGCAGTCTTCTTCTTAGCGATAGTATGAGGTTTCTTTGGGGTCTTTTTGCCATTTTCTTTCCTTTCATCATTTTCCTTCCCTTTCTGACTGGGTTGTTTTGTCCTTTCTTTCTTGGTTTTCCCTCAGTTGGCATCTCATGCCTAATACTATCAATTCTTATCGTGCAGCATTGGCGGTGCCGTTTCTGCTCACATTTGGGGTTGACTTTTCTTCGGCTCCATCCCACAAGCTTTCTCGGGCTTTGTTTCACCTCTGACCTGCTTATGCGCTGCCCGGCCCTGTCTGGTCTTTGGACCGGGTTCTTTCTCTTCTCTTTTCTGCTCAGTTTTTGTTTTGGCCCTGATCCGGAATTGTTTTGGAAGGCTTTATTGTTGGTTTCTTTGGCATCCGGTTGTCGGGTAGGTGATCTTCATGCTCTGCTCCGGTGCTGGGGGTTTTGTTCATCTGAAATGATCTGGTGGTCATTTCACTCGGTTGCAGCTGGCTCCTTTGTTTTTTTGAGAAGTATTAGATGACGGGCTTTTGGAGGGTTCCTTTTGTTGTGCATGCTTGGGTTGTTTGGTCAGGGATGCATAATGCACTATTTACAATTGGGTCTTTGCGTCGCAACCTGCCAGCCACTGGTTGTTTCGATGGATTCGTCATGGGTTGTTCCAGTTTCCCTGGTTCCCTGTTCCAGGGCTTGAGTCTCAGATTGTCTGCGGTGTCATCAAGGCTAGCGCAGCCTGCGGTCTACCCTCATGCTCATGATGTTTGGAAGTATGGTATGCCGCTTTATCGACAGTTTCCGTGGAGAGCTCTGTCGGCTCCCTGGAGCTATCGGACTGACATTAGCTATATTAGTCTGGGGCTTCAGTCATATGGAGTTCTAATGCCTATCTGGACCCACGAGCTAGAACCTGGTTCCCTCAGAGAGTCTAAGGGTGCAATTACCTATGAAAATTCCACTCTTTGAGAGTACTGTAGAAGCTCGCTAATCTGGACTATATGGGCCCCCCCCCCCACCCCCGTCTGGATGGGCCCATCATCCAGATCAAAGGAAGTTTTACTGTTGTAGTCCATAGTGAACATTTTCAAAATATTTTGTACCACAACCAACATAATTTGAATTTCCTCACACTAATTATAGTGTGTGGAGCTCGTAGGGTTGTTAGCTGCCTGGCTGGTAGGTGTTCAGGGCAAGTGGGCAGGTAGACAGGTGGGTGGGTGGCAGGCAGGCAGATGGGCTTGATAGTTGGCAGGTGAGTGGGCAGACAGACTCAGGCAGGTGGGTGAAAAGGTGGCCGGGCAGGCAGGCAGGTGGTTGGGTGGGCGACCATGCATGCATGTGGCCCTTGGGGCCAGCTGGGGCTTGGGGCCCTTGTTTGGCCTTGGGTAGGAAGTGGTGTTGTGCTGGTTAGGGCGTAAAAATGTTGCGCGTTCTGCCACCTAAGTGGCGACCGGTTCCTGTTGCCTCTGGGGACTGTACTTTTGCAGGTTTTTTTTTTTTTTTTTTTTTTTTTTTATTTGCCTGGTGGAGGTTTTGAATCGTGGGTCTATAGTTCCAATGATATTGTTTTGGTGGCCCTCTGTTAGGCCCCCGTGCTTGTACACGTCCCAGGGGTTTCAGTGTTATCATCTACCCCTTGTTTTGTTTGGGTTTCTTAACCTGTTAGCAACACCTTGCCCGGGCTTCCCGTAGCTGTTACCCCTACAGGCCCTGGAAACCCCTGTCGGGGCTTGGTGGACCCATGAATGGTGTCCCGAGTTCCAGCCTGCCTTGTGCAGGTTTGAAGGTTGCTGTGTGTCCTTGTCTCAGGGTGACAGTCACCTGTTTTGCCTCTGTCATGCTGCCTGTTGGGTCAACGACACCTTTGACCCAGAGTCTTGCGAGTCGTGTTCTCTGCTTGTGCTCCAGTTTTACTCTGAGGATGTTCCTGTTAGGGGTACAGCCAGCATCAGCGTTGGTTTAGGTTACTGCAACGCGCTAGGTTGGTTTCCCACCCAGATGCCTGAGGCTGCCCCATTTTGGTTTTGGGGCAGCCTCAGGCAGCCTCCCCGGACCTGGGGGCGTTAGTTCGGCTTTGGCTCCTTTCGCGCTCCCTGGTCCTTCCCCTGTGGTTCATCCTGCACCTCCCCCCCCCTCCCTGTGTCCGGCTCCAAAACGTCTGAGGGTTTCAGCTTCGGCACATGGTTTAGTTGGTAATGAGGCTCAGGTTGCCTCGGGGGCTACTCCATTCGGGTCAGGGATGGAGGCATTTGAGCCGGCTCCTCCTGCCAAGGCTTCTGGGTCCCACCAGCAGACCCCCTTCTTGTCTGCCTTTCCCCTGGACTCTGCCTTTTCTTCAGGGGTAGAGGGTTTGGAGGATGGCTCAGCCCCAGGTCCCGATGTGGGGGATCCTGGGGCTGGGAAGGAGTCAACCTGGGGGCCTTGGGCCCCCTTTGACCCCGCTTGGGTGTATTTGCCTTCCTCGCGGGGCTTATTGTTGCAGGGGGAGGGGTTTTCTTACCCCCCTTTCCTGTACGAGTATGATTTGGGTTCGGCTCCTCCCCAGGCTCGGTTCCGGGCTCCTTAGGTTAGCTCGGCCTCGTCTTTCCAGAGGTTTTCTACTTCCCGTATCTCCACGAAGGTGGCTCGGGAGGCTCTTGCTGATTTGCTGGTCCCATGATTTGTGGGCCTCTTTGGTCGAGTCATCTGACCTGTGGTGGCATTGGGCGACCCGTCCTCCTTTGGGGGGGGTTCGGGGCTAACAGGGCAGGTTTCTTCTCCTGCGCTTTGTCAAGTTGTCTTGAAGTGGGTGTGCTTGGGCGTGGTCGAAACGACTCCGTCCCTCAGGTGGGTTTCTCGTCTGTTTCCAGTGTCGAAACAGGACTGTGCAGATCTGAGGTTCATTCTGGACTTGTCCCATCTGAACCCCTGGATTCCTTGCCCCTCCTTTCGGATGACTACTCTGTCTCAGGTACAGCTTCTGTTGGAGCCGGGTGCCTGGATGGTGTCCCTGGACCTCAAGGACGCTTATTGGCACGTTCCTATTCATCCGGGGTTCAGGGACTGGTTAGGTTTTGTGATGGGGCATCACGCTAAACCCTTTCGCTGCCTACCTTTTGGCTTGAATCTGGCACCTCGCGTTTTCACGCGTCTGACCCGGGTTGTGGTGACCCGTCTGCATCTTCTAGGGATTCAGGTTTTGGCCTACCTCGATGACTGGCTGGTGTGGGTTCCCAGTCGGTCAGCTTGTCTGCTCGCCAGGGATATGGTTCTTTCCCAGCTCGCCAGGTTTGGGTTCCTGGAGAACTGGAGGAAGTCCCATCTGGTTCCGTCCCAGGTTC